GGGTGTAAGAGCACTGACTGGTACTGCTGGAGGAGGTTCTGAGACAGGTACAGACTGTGGGTTAATCTGTAGCTGCCTTTCAACACGAGAGAGACCAGAGGCTAATTCAGACAGGGAGTCCATAATCCCACAAAGAGTCTGGTCGTGTTCTCCAAGCATTGCTCCTTGGTTTGACACAGCGTGTCGGAGGGTCTTAACTTGGGCACTGGGGTCTGAGTCAGCTGGGTCCATGCTTTTGGCGAGATTGTTCTGTTACGGTTAGTATAAATTCTGGACCCTAAAGCACGACTCAGATAGGCAGGATAAAGTTTACAAAAAGGTTTATTTCCAAAAGTGACTCAAAAAGTGCAATTGGGAGGGGTAGTGCGAGGTTCCAAGTGGAACCCAGTGGTGATCCCAGTGTGGTGTCCAAAAAGCACAGGTGAGGTGAAGCAAAAAATGCGAACAGCAAACTGGCACAAGGCAGAGAAAAAAAACAAGGTTAGCTACACAAGCTATAACACGAGAACTAGTAATCCAGAGAAGCCTAGAGAGTACAATACCACGCGAGCAGGTGAAACAATCTGGCGCCGAGGTGAAGCAGCAGGAAGTCTTTGTAGTCGAGATCCTGATGACCAACTAGCTGCACCTGGCGCGGCCTGGGAACATGAACCCCGCCCACCACACTCACACAGACAGGGGAGAGACACATGAGGATTAAACAGACAGGGAATGACAAACAACACCACAAAAGGAGAAGGGAGGGCTGCCATGATGTGAATCATGACACTTGCAGTCATGTGTGGAAAAAATATAGTAATGCAAAACACAAAATTGAGTAAGATAAAATGTCACTGTATAAAGTATACTTACTGTATATTGTAAAATGCAAGTGGAATACTGTAATATTGTATGAAGCATTACAGAAAGTATACAGTACTACAGTACAGTGACTGTTGTTAGAGTACATACCTGTTCTGTCGATGAAAAGTCTGAATGATTGAGGACACAGTTGTTCTCCCAACATTTGGCTGCACCCTTCGACCAGCCTCAGCCATTGTAAGCCCATTTTTGAGAACGTGATCTACAAGTGTGGTTCTTATCTCATCAGGAGCGTGCATATGTCCCCGGCCTCTTCTGCCTCCTCCACCACGCAGCCTCACTCCTCTTCCTCGTCTTCTCTCTGGCTGTTGACCCCGTCCAATTCCTTGTCCTTCAATTGCCAGACATTGTAACATTGTGTTGTGCTCCGGCTATATATATACTTGCCAGTTGATGGTTCAGGGTATCCAGGGCAAACCTGAGGAGGGGCATCATCAAGGCCAAGCACTGCTACAAGCTGAAGGTTGAGGAACACTTCTCCAACTCCGACCCCAGACGCATGTGGCAGGGCATCCAGGCCATCAGTGACTATAAACCCAGAAACTCCACCCCGATAACCACAGATGTCTCCTTCCTGAACGAGCTAAATCACTTTTATGCTTGTTTCGATAGAGACAACAGAGAGTCCACGACCAGACCTCCTGCAGACAACCAGCCCCTCTCACTCACCTCCACAGACGTCCACGCTGCACTGAGCCGGATCAACGCTCGAAAGGCTGCTGGTCCAGACGGTACCCCCGGGCGCGTGCTTAGAGCATGTGCGGAGCTGGGGTTTTTATGGACATCTTCAACCTGTCCCTCGCCCAAGCAGCTGTGCCGGCATGCTTCAAAGCCACCTCCATTGTCCCAGTGCCGAAACACTCCAGCCCGACAGGCCTGAACGACTACCGCCCTGTGGCACTCACACCCATCATAATGAAGTGCTTTGAGCGACTGGTCCTAGCACACCTGAAAAACTGCCTCCCACCCACACTGGACCCATACCAGTTTGCCTACCGCAGCAATAGGAGTACAGAGGATGCAGTCTCCACTGCGCTGCACTCTGTGCTCACACATCTGGACAATAACAACACATACGCACGAATGCTGTTTGTTGATTTTAGCTCAGCATTCAACTCTGTCATCCCCTCCAAGTTAAACACTAAACTCAGAGACCTGGGCTTCAACACCTCCCTCCGTCACTGGATAATGGACTTTCTGACCAACAGACCCCAGTATGTTAGGTCAGGACACACCTGTTCCACCACCATCACACTCAACACAGGCGTACCACAGGGCTGTGTGCTGAGCCCATTCCTCTACTCCCTCTTCACCCACGACTGCAGACCTGTACATGGATCCAACACCATCATCAAGTTTGCGGACGATACAGCGGTGATTGGCCTCATCAGCAACAACGATGACAGCCTACAGGGAGGAGGTACAGCATCTGGCCGCCTGGTGTGCTGACAACAACCTGCTCCTCAACACCAGCAAGAAGAAGGAGATCATCGTGGACTTCAGGAGAGAAAGAGGAAGCACGCACAACCCCATTCACATCAACGGGATGGCTGTTGAACGTGTCTCCAGCTTCAAGTTCCTGGGGACCCACATCACAGAGGACCTCTCCTGGTCCACCAACACCTCCAGTCTGGTTAAGAAGGCTCATCAACGCCTCTTTTTCCTGAGGACACTGAAGAGACACCACCTGTCTTCAGCTGTACTGTTGAACTTCTACCGCTGTGTGATCGAGAGCATCCTGACCAGCAGTGTCTCAGTCTGGTACGGTAACTGCTCTGTCGCAGACCGTAAGGCGCTACAGCGGGTGGTAAAAACCGCCCAGCGCATCACAAGGTGTCCACTTCCTGCCATTGAGGATGTCCAAAGAACACGCTGTCTGCGGCGAGCTCATGGCATCCTTAAAGACTCCTCCCACCCTGCCCACAGACTGTTTACCCTCCTGCCCTCCGGCAGGCGCTTCAGAAGCCTCCGGACCAGAACCAGCAGACTGAGGAACAGCTTTTTCCCCAGAGCTGTTTCTCTACTGAACTCTACCCCCCGAACTCTGAACCCTGTCTCTCTCTCTCTCTCCCTCTCTCTCTCCGCCCCCTGCTGACCCCCCCCTTTCCCCTGCATATCACCTCACACCCATCATCCCCCCACCACTCCTCCTGGTCACACACACACATCTCTCATCCATCTGTATTATTGTATTATAGTATGTTCATATTATGTCCATATTCTTTATATTATCTGTAAACTAGTATAGCATGCTCACTGCATCTTAATCTGTATATTATTAGTATAGCATGCTCACTGCACCTTAATCTGTATATTATTAGTATAGCATGCTCACTGCACCTTAATCTGTATATTATAATCCTAAGAATACACTTATTTTGTAGCATTACTTATTTATAGCATTTATTTATATTTATAGTATCCCATTAATCCAGCCATCCAGATATACCTAATAATTCACTTTTTTTGTCTACATCTGTAAATTTTGTAATTACTGTACATAGCACAGACTCTTGCACTTTCTGCTTATTTGCACTTCTGGTGAGATGCCAAACCTCATTTCGTTACTCTATACTTGTATATGTGTAATGACAATAAAGTTGAATCTCATCTCATCTCATCTCATCTCATCATGAGATGCACCTTTGAGCTATTTCAGAAAACGGGTTGATCATTGGTTGATCTAATGCTTCACACATTTCCCTTCGTTAGAGAAAGTCAAGATTCACCTGGGAGCAATTAACCAATTCAGGACAGATTTAGAAAAAAAAGTCTAATGGAAATGTATAGAAATATGCTTGACATATTATGACAACTTGTTCAACCATTTTGCATGTAAAGACTTATGCGATGAACTAATGCCTAAATGTTGTGGGGGGTGAGACTTTTCAACAGAGACCCATTATAATGGGTTGATCAACATGACATAAGCCATTGATAATGTAGGAAACAGCAGAGAATTGTACAGAATCATTTGCATGGATGTACCAAAGCATTTCCAACTTGTTCAAAGAAATGAAAAACTGCTTTTTTGATGTGCACAAGTGACACAATGATGTGAAGATTGAACAAGTAGTTTTGAGAATTTCAATTCTGATCTGAGAAATGTACCAAAGCGACTGAGAAAAACTGTAATACAGTTCCGGGTGGGCAATCACAAACGATTGATGATGACAACATGAAAACATAGTATAAATAAACTTAAGTTTGTGTCATGAGTATATATGAGAGAATACCATGCAACTATATTTACAGGATTTTAAAGAAAACAATCTGTAAGTTAATGTCAATCATTGATCTTGCACCAGGCAGACTCCACCTATGTTTTAGCTAAATCCAGGCCAATGGGCAAAAAAAGATTTCTGTCTTTGATTTGTGCAAAAAACAGTGAGTAAGCCACCTAAGCTTTGGCAAAGACAGTGTATGGCAAGATTTTGCTATAATTCGGACATACAAATGACATCTTATAAATGTTAGTAAATGCATCTATTATTATTATATACATACATATATGTATAATAGATCAAAATAATAGATACATTTGCTGTTAATACCAATGTGTCTATCATTTTTTGTCAAACATGCTATTTTCAAGGAATTTTTGCTTTATCATAAGTAGTTTTGTTGTCATATTAAAGGCAATATCAGAGGACAGTATTAGCGTGTTAATAAAATGACCTCAGAGCATATTCAGAGATAAAATCCTATATCTGTAACAATCAGTTTTCTGTCTTCAGCAGGGGTAAATCCAACTTTATCTTTTGATGTTTCTTAGTTTAACTAAGATTCTTATGAAACATTTGGAAAAATCAAGCTGGATTTCCGGGAATTGTACTTTGTTATATGACTTTCAAAGTTCCACAGGAATTTGGTTTTCATATTAATATTTATTAGATTTATTCACATTCATATTTCACTAGATTTAGTGAGGCAACATTAACAAATTGATAACAGTACATTATTAGTAAAAAACAATCAATTTATTTAGACACTTATTTACACATATATACATAAGCTCAGATCTCTTTGAGTCACAAGTAAAGTGACATCAATCAAAGTCTTTCAGTCAGTCCAAAATGAGTGCTTGGGTCTCACATATGTAGTGCCGATTGCCAACACAGACAATGTCATCCCAAGACTTCAACCAATCCTTAACCCCAATGTCACGCGGTGGGACTATGGCAACAAAGTCCTAACCAGATTGTTGTATGTCCCAGGAGGCTATAGCGTTATTTGGCTCCAGATGCCTCCAGTATACAACTTTGGAGTTCAATTCATTACCATTGACCCACCAGTATCTGCCTTCCCGCACCATGTCCTGCAGCCCGATCCATGCTGAGTAAAAATCAACTTGAGGGTTCTGCTTTACAAACTGATAAGTCAGAGTGGTAAGGAATGCCTGGTCTGCTTCATTCAAAACAACAGCCAGGTCACCATTTTCAGAAAAACACTCTCTGCGAGTATTTTCCCAACTTCTTTGTATTGGAGATAGAAAGAAACAACGTGAAGCATGCTCAGTCCAGCCAGGAAGGCAGCGTGAGCACTTCAGCGTACTTTTGTTGCATAATCTCCAGAGGAAGGAGAATCTGTCTGAGAACAGGAGTGCATGCTTTTGCTGATTTTTTGCTTTCAGCTGCATTGAACTATTCTGTTCAAAGCTTAAAAGCTCTTGAAACCGTCTGTTCTCTTCTTTTAAAAAGTTGCGGTTTTGCAGGGTTAAATTAAGAAGAATTAAGAAATATCCTCAACTCTTTGTTCTCCACCTGCAGCTGTGTTTTTACTTGAATTGTGTCATTCAGAAGCAGGCTCAGCTGCGTCTTTTCTTTTGTTGTGTCGTTCAGGAGCAGGCTTAGCTGCGTCTTTTCTTTTGTTGTGTTGTTCAGGAGCAGGCTCAGCTGCGTCTTTTCTTTTGTTGTGTTGTTCAGGAGCAGGCTCAGCTGTGCCTTTTCTTTTGTTGTGTCATTAAGGAGCAGGCTCAGCTGTGTCTTTTCCTTTGTTGTGTCATTCAGCAGCATGCTTAGTTGCGTTTTTTCTCGAATTTTGCCCTTCAGACTTAGGTTTAGATTTTTGTTTTCTTGAATTGTGTCTTTCAGGATCACTCTAAGCCTAGTCCTTTCTTGAATTGTTTTGCTCAGGAGAAGGTTCAGCTGAGTGTCTCCTTTTGTTGTGCCATTCAAGAGCAGGCTCAGCTGTGTCTTTTCTTTTGTTGTGTCGTTCAGGAGCAGGCTCAGCTGTGTCTTTTCTTTTGTTGTGTTGTTCAGGAGCAGGCTCAGCTGCGTCTTTTCTTTTGTTGTGTCGTTCAGGAGCAGGCTTAGCTGCGTCTTTTCTTTTTTTGTGTTGTTCAGGAGCAGGCTCAGTTGTGTCTTTTCTATAATTGTGTTGTTCAGGAGCAGGCTCAGTTGTGTCTTTTCTATAATTGTGTTGTTCAGGAGCAGGCTTAGCTGTCTTTTCTTTTGTTGTGTCGTTCAGGAGCAGGCTTAGCTGCGTCTTTTCTTTTGTTGTGTCGTTCAGGAGCAGGCCTAACTGCGTCTTTTCTTTTGTTGTGTTGTTCAGGAGCAGGCTTAGCGGCATCTTTTCTTTTGTTGTGTTGTTCAGGAGCAGGCTCAGTTGTGTCTTTTCTATAATTGTGTCATTAAGGAGCAGACTCAGTTGTGTATTTTTCTTTGTTGTGTCCTTCAGCATCATGCTTAGTTGCGTTTTTTCTCGAATTATGCCCTTCAAACTCAGGTTTAGATTTGTGTTTTCTTGAATTGTTTCGCTCAGGAGCTGCGTCTTTTCTTTTGTTGTGTCGCTCAGGAGCAGGCTCAGCTGCGTCTTTTCTTTTGTTGTGTCGCTCAGGAGCAGGCTCAGCTGCGTCGCTCAGGAGCAGGCTCAGCTGCGTCTTTTCTTTTGTTGTGTCGTTCAGGAGCAGACTCAGCTGCATCTTTTCTTTTGTTGTGTTGTTCAGGAGCAGACTTAGCTGCATCTTTTCTTTTGTTGTGTTGTTCAGGAGCAGGCTCAGCTGTGCCTTTTCTTTTGTTGTGTCATTCAGGAGCAGGCTCAGTTGTGTCTTCTCTATAATTGTGTCATTAAGGAGCAGGCTCAGTTATGTATTTTCCTTTGTTGTGTCCTTCAGCAGCATGCTTAGTTGCGTTTTTTCTCAAATTTTGCCCTTCAGACTTAGGTTTAGATTTTTGTTTTCTTGAATTGTGTCTTTCAGGATCACTCTAAGCCTAGTCCTTTTTTGAATTGTTTTGCTCAGAAGAAGGTTCAGCTGAGTGTCTCCTTTTGTTGTGCCATTCAAGAGCAGACTCAGCTGTGTATATATACAGCTTCCATTGGCCACCGTCACTTCTCATAGAGGTTACATTTTGATGAGTGGATTTTAGACGCATCCTTATGTGATTGTTTTCTTTTTGTAACTCCTTGCTATTATTGCTCACAGTGACAGTGACAATGATTACAATTAGTAGAAGCACTGTTAAAACGACATTCAAAACGACTTGCCAGCTGGTTCGCAGTGTGTCAATGAAGTGGTTCAAAGTCTCTCCTCCTTCTTTTTCATCTTGAACTGGACTGTCTTGAACTGCTTCCTCATCCAATTTTTCAATGGTAAACTGGAAGCAAAAATAAAGTAGGAGAAAATTAACAGAAGAAAATGCATCAAGAAACCTTACTGTGCACACAATTAGACATAATCAAAATAATTGGACATAAATAACATAAATAACAATTTTGAAAATTTCCCTTAAAAAACAATTTGACAAATTTGAGGTTCGAAAAATCACTGAAGATTTTCTGAAAATCATGGGAATAAATCAAATATGAAATCAGAAGTTTAGAAATATATTATTTGGAATGTAAATATAAAAAAGGACATTTTACAATAAATTGCCTCTTGAAGACTAAAAACAAACTTAAAATACAGTGATGATGACCATGTTTGATCATTTTGTTAAAGAGATTAAAGTTAATACAGTTCTTCTGAATGATGGGTTCATAACTGTCAACTGCACAACTCCTTCATTGCACCTGCTGTACATTTCATGTTTCAATATTCTTATACTCTATTTTATGTATTTGTAATTTTTTTAATGTTAATTTAAGTTAAATTCTTGCTATTTTTGCTTTATTTTCTTTTTTAATTGTTTTGCACCAAAACACCAGGTCAAATTCCTTGAATGTTTAAATGTACTTGAACAACTTCTTTTTACATTGATCCCTAAGACAAAGTAGGATTATAAAGAATGGAGAAGGCTCCCAACGCCATCTTTGTTTGAATGTGATATGGTTCGTACTGTAGGGTAGATTTTAAAGAACTCTTTGCCTTCATTGTACGGATGTGTGTAATTGGGGGAATGAATGTGACCCTTTCAGTGGTCAAAAGTTTAGAAAATAGCTAGAGCAGTCTGTTTATAAAAAAAAGTCACTTACACAACACAGTTGAAAATATGTGGCAGGAACTGTATGTTTGTTGTGTGTAATTGGGTTCATGAATATGCCTGAATTTGAATTTGTAGAAGTGCCCAAACTTCGTTGTCGGTCCATTTGTCCGACTGTTTTTTTTTTCCTTTTTATGATTTTAATAGCTTTTACCAACTGTTATTTGGGTCAGTGACAAATAAGGGTTGTTCAGATGACCAATTCAAAAATCTTTTTGAAACACAATTTAAAAGCATGCATCAGGTTCATTAAAATGGGAGATTTGTATTCATGTTGGTTTTGTGTTATTTAAAATTACATTTAAACCTTTCTTTTCAAAAGGTAAGACTAAATGGACCTAAAAATGTCAAGTGGTGTAACCACTGAAAAATTAAGAATATTTTATATTTTATACATCTAGAGTATATGTAAGTGTACTCATAATTGTAATTACTTCATTTTAAAATAGCACAAGAAAATAGATTTTATTAGGATTATCCCTAAATCTACAAGTTATGCCCTTTTTCAATACTGAGCGGGGCACAAAGCTGAAAACACTTCTGTTTTCTAATTAATTTTTGGCAAATTATTGTCATGATTTAGTCTTATTTAGTTTTGTATTTCAGTATTTAGGTTTCCATGTTTTGATTTCTCCTGTTCTTCCCTAGTGTTGCTGGTTTTTCCCTTGTGTGTTTCCTAGTTTAGTCTTCAGTGTTTCCTGTGTTATTTTGTAATTTCATATCCTTGTGTCCCTCTCTGTTCTAGTGTGTCTTGATGTTTCATTCTTGAGTTTAACAGTGTCTTCAGTGTTTCATGTATTTGTCATAGTTGTCCTCAGTGTTTCTTGTCCTGCCTCTGTGTGTTTCCCTCCAGTGTGATTGCCCTCATTGTCTTCACCTGTGTCGTTAGTCTCACCTGTGTCTGATTACCCCTGTGTCTATTTAGCCTCTGTGTTTCTTCCCTCCTGTGTCAGCTCATTGTATGTGTTTGTCCTATGTCAGTTTACCCGTGGCTCCTTGTTTTCTCCTGTTTGGATTTTGGTTTAATTAAATATTTTTGTTAATTTGCATTTGGGTCCACCTCCCTTGTTTTCCAACCGTTCCTGACAGAATGAACTGACCAGAATGGACCCAGCAGATTTTTTTTTTTTTTAAATTGTAACTACGAGCCTTCTCCCTGGGAGGGGACACTGCTCGCAATTTTTGCTGGTTCCTGAGGCGGGAGGAGAACGAGTCAAAGATGTCCGGAGTCTATCTCTTCAAGCTCTCTGGTGGCTTTTCTGTTGGACCTTGCCTTTGAGCCAGAAAGCTCCACCCAGTCTCCTCAGCCACACCAGCTGAAGCTTCAGCCCAAGCCTCGGCCCAAGCGTCAGTCCAGGCTTCAGTCCAGGCCTCACTCTAAGCCTGATCATCCATGTGTTCCTGTTCCAGTTCCAGCAGAGCGCTGTCTGTCCCCTGTTCCTGTTCCAGCAGTCAGTTCATTGTATGTGTGTGTCGGTTGTCGTATGTCAGTTTACCCGTGGCTCCTTGTTTTCTCCTGTTTGGATTTTTGGAAGTAAGTTTTTGTTTAATTAAATATTTTTGTTAATTCTGCATTTGGGTCCTCCTCTTGGTTTTCTCAATCAGTGAGAATTATGTAACAATTGTTAAAATTATTTCACTGCAATAGAGGACTACTTTTACTCAACTTTAATTGTCCTGTATTTTATTATATTTTTTTTACAAGAAATACTGGTTACACCAACTGCCGCAAACCAGTTACACCAACTGACCATGCTGCTTCTACAGTCAAAGGTCATTGTTTCTTGAAGAAATTGTTGTTAGCTTCCTCCATTTTATGTTTGCTCCACCTACCAAAGTGTACAGAATACCAGTGCAAACCTGTAGTGTGCACGTTTGCCTAAAACACAGACTAGTATAAAACTGAAGTGAATAGATCGGCTTTTTGGATAATAATACATTTTATTTATAACGCACTTCACATTAAAACCAAAATCTCAAAGTAGGTCTCATAGATGGGCAATTTCTTACTGATACCTGATCTAGCAGTCTTAGTCAAGATGGGACCGACATCCAATACCAGGATTGGATCGGTGCATTCTGAATTAATTCATATTTTAAGTAAATTACAACATCTGATCAAAATCTTGAGGGGGAATTCATTTCTTCAGTATTTGGAATAAACTCAAGGTACTTGTGCCCTAATAAAAAGGAGAAGAGATTAGAGAAGAAACCCCTTGCCCCAATTATGCCCCTATGCCCTATTGATGATTTGGCTATCCTAGCCTACGGTTCTAGTTGCCCCTGCAACCAAAACAGCATTGCCACCGTTAACACACCCAGGCTCTGTTTCCAGTATGTGAGTTAGCCATGTTTTGACAACGCTAATACTTGCCACCCTACCACACTCGCATTCACAATTCAACCTTGTAGACCGAAGGGTAGCAAGAACCAGGTCATCACCGGGGTTGTCAAGTGGGACCGTACTTTCACCAGATGTTCGTCCAATTAGGTCCACAACTTCACCTGAAGGCTAGACAGTCAGCTTTGGCGTCCTAGAGACACCCCCCTTCATGGTAGCTCTCAACGCCCACCATACCAACAGGCAACATGTTACATCTCTCCTTCTTTACATCATGGCCATCACAGCGCAAACAGCATTGCCACCTTCTATAGTACCAGACTTTGGCAAGCTAGCTCCGGGTAGTGACATGTTGATACTACCTACCCTACCACATAGCCGACACATCTGAAATGCAACTACTGGTGCCAATATTACAGCATACATATATTAGATCATACATGTTTAAATGTGCACAATGTAGACTGGGTGGTGAAATTTGAAAGTTGGAGAAGTGAAACAATTCTTGGATATATTTTCTGACCTGAATACACAAACTTTATTCAAAGGATAAAATGGGTCCCTGGAACACTGGCGATATAAAGCTACCAAGAGAGTTATGCTTTCACTGTTGTGGGCCCACCACCATAACTTCTCCAGTAGCATTTTATCTTCAAACAGTGTTACAGGGACCAAATTTTAATCTGAGGATAGTTTGTGTTTAGAGTTATGATGGACATATACCACATAATCTGTATATTTCTCCGACTTTCACATTTCTTTACCAAAACTACATAGTGCACCTCTATAAATGTAAGTGAATGGAACACATATGCAATTTGAAGCTAAACATTTACAAAATGCCAGGGCATTTTGTCCTAGACCCTTGATAATAAGGTTGTGGATGAATCACCACTTTAATCAACATTAAGAAATACTGATATATGACAAAAGTGGCCTCTAACAGAAAGGCTTGTCATAAAAGTCAAATAGTGTAACCGGTTACACCATTTGACATTTCCACTTCAAATCAAATTTGACACGCATTATCATTGAGACCTATGTAAGCACATTTCCTGGTGTGAACATTTCAAATCTAATTTTTGAAGTGAATACAAATTTTTATAATTATCATAAATTGTTAATGTTTTTCTGAGGTCATACCATTTGACATACCTGACCACGCCCTTAAAATGTCAAATTATCGCATGTTTTAAAGAGAGTTGCTAAACATGGCGTGCGGCAGTTAGGACCATCAGGGGTTCTTCCTTGTGATATCATTTCTTGTCACATGATATGATGACTATATTAACAAAATGGCTCCTTCAATGGTGGTTACACCATGTTGACAATTTGGTACTTGACTGGGTGACATGGTTTCCCTAAAATAATTATAATAATAAGAACAATGATGTTCCTTTACTTTTCTTTAATATTGAATAGTTCTATTGTAAGATTATGCCAGGCTAGTTCATAGGGTGTTATATGAAAATGTAACCTTTTTTAAAGCAAGTTTAATTCTTTGGTACAAAGTTTCAGCGGTTAGATCACTTTTTGCCTACATACCCCAATTATTCTCTAAAAAACTATAATAAATATAAATTTTAGACTAGGTCTTCAAAAAAAGAATGAAAGCATGTCATTTGTGCATTTATTTTTACATTTTAAGCATTTAAAAGTTAACTAAACCTTATGGACACAAAAATTAGCATCATTGACCCATTTACTGTTATTTGCTAAGGTTTACAGCTAGATTTTAAAAAATGGTGGTTGATTGTAATCTTGTGTTCATCCCAATAGCATTTGGCACTCAGTCCCTCTGCTTGGAGAGTACTCTGAAGCAGGAGGTAAAAAAGGTTCCTCTGAATGGGATTCTAGGACTAAACAAGATCTTAGTTCCTGTGGTGCTGAATCAATAAAAAAGTGTGAGGGTTCCAACAGTCCCTAGAACAGGGCTATTCAATTGGCGGCCCGGGGGCCAAATGCGGCCTGCAGGCAATCTCAGAGTGGCCCCGACCCAGTCAGCATGAATCCAATTAATGAATAAAAAATAAAAAATCAACAGCATACCGGCATGTAACTGGCTTTCAAGTGAGGCATCTTACTTCATTCATATCTGTGTCAAGAGTTTGCCGTACTGATCAGAACGGACGTTCGCGGAAGTAGTGGTATTCAAAACATTCAGACCATGCCTTTCCAAATAAGAAAAATATACCGTGAAACACCGCCGGTTTAAACGTGCCTGGACTGCAAAGTATTTATTTGTTTTACGAACAACTCCAAACGCAAAACCAAAGTTGAATCGAGTGCTTTGCAGTAATTAAATAATATAACGTTCGGATGCATCATGATGAAAAACACCTGACTTATCCAGACTAACTTTCTTGAGGGATCACAGGAGAGGGACGTTAAAGTACAGTTTGTCTCCAGCTTCTGAACGGAGACGTAACCCTGGTGCGGACCTGCACAGCCCAACAGAGAGACACAGCAGCTGCCCCGCGGGTCACTCACAGAATTAGAGCAGCAGAGAATGCATACTGGCCTTTTTGAATGAAGTGATAGATGATGCGAAAAGTCCGGCCCTCTTCAAATTCCTGGTTTTAAAATCTGGCCCTTTTGAATTTGTAATTGAATAGCCCTGCCCTAGAACAATGAAGAGTTCCTGTGGTCCGAAACACCTTATGGCAGGCTTTGGACTTATTCTGATATGACTCAAACTATATCAATTTAAATATTCTAAGCTCAAGGGGGTAAATACTCATGCAAAACACTTGAACAGAGATTTGCATTACTGTCTGATTCCCCAACAACAGACAAAAAAATCACAATTTTTAAACATGTGTTGAAAAAATTAAACAAAAGATTGATTTTTCAATACAGTATTATACCTGATCGTGTGTGCCTGAACCTGTCATGTTGGTTTATAACAGTCTTTTTTTCTCTTAGACCATCTTCTGTGTGAATTATAACTTTATTGTGTCATTAAAACATTTAATACAACCCTGCGGTCCGTCATGTTTAGGTGAATATCCTTTGGAATTAGTTCCGCTTTTACCAAAGATTGATTATTTTTTTGATCAATATTTGTAGCCTGTGCGTCAACAAGTTTTAACACGGGAAACGTTTTTTTGTTTTTTTTTGCGTTGCCATAGCAGCATTTTATATCATAATAATAATAATAGTCCAGGCGATATTACGTTTCTCACGCGAGATTTGGAAGTATCACAAATTTAATCTTTTGATTTTTTCTTCTTCTTTTTTTTGCTCAAGTACAATTAGTGAGGAAGTGGAAGCAGTCACAATGACTGTGTGAATTTTAAATGATTTCGTGTAACTACATGTATTTTGAAATTCCCTCACATTTGCTGTTCCGCTCTGACGTCACACCCCTCCCCGCCTTGTGACCGGCAAACTCCAGAGCCAATCACCACACACCATCTGTCAACATGGCGTCGGACTTCAGGTGGAGATGTGGAGTGCTCCTACTTTGCACTTATCTGCTTTGTATTTCGGCTACGGGAAGCAAAGAAAAGGCTCAGAAGAAGAAGGATATCCGAGACTACAATGACGCAGATATGGCACGGCTCCTGGAACAATGGGAGGTACGTTAGCATGCTACATTTCATTACAACAGCCTGAAGACATGAGCTAGCTACAACTGACAAGGGTGATGCATTCAGGGTCCGCAGAAAAAGTACAAAATGAAAAAACTTTCTGGCAATAGCGAGAATAAATTCCTGAATTAGGAACGATGTATTCAACTAATAGGTCTACAATTATAAAATGCAGGCACTGAGAGTAAAGGGCTCTGTTTGTGTTACGTTAATGAACACAAACAGAGCTTAATGATAATTGAGTACATACGGCTCCCAGGTTGCAGCTCTGGTGTAGTTGAAGCAACACAATCCTCCAGCAGCAGCAGCAGCAAGGGCTGATGGGTTTTCTGCTCCACACTGGCCATGATGGGGATGAAGGAGCCAAGAGGGAAGCTGGTGGATTGAGCCGGGACTGAGAAGTCATCATTCATTAGTCCAATGTGGAACACAAGTATTTCCGTTAATGCATTACAGGAAAACAGACGTGGATATGTGACGTAATGCAGAGGCCTAGCATCACTGCATTTATAAATGTTAATAAGTGATGTTATCAGAACTACTGTTTCAAAGTCCAAGACAAAAACAGAGACTCATTTGGATTTAATAAAGTTGATGTGAACACAGAAACAACGTGTTTTTTGCATTTAAATTAGAAATTAAACGCAGTTCATGGTTGTGTGTAAATACAGTAGTGTCAAGTTAATAAAAAACCTTACATAAGTCTCATTTGGTCTGATCACTGTTATCTGAATACTAATACATTGTCTGTTTAGGAAGTGTAATTAAGAGGAAGTAGAAAGTACTAAAATAGCTGGAAAGAATAAAAAGCAGAGTCTCCAAAAAGGTTTTATTAATTGTTTTACTGTACAACACAACAAAGTCAAAGTCTTAAAGTAGTTTTTATATATATATATATATATATATATATATATATAGTTAAACTGTTTTTATAAGTGTCTGTCTTTTAATAAAAAGCATCTCAAACCATTCTTAAAGGGTACAACTTAATAAATTGACTTTTTACTCGATACGTAATGTACATGACTGAATTAAGAGTGATATATTACAAGGTCAAAATGCAGAATAAAAACAGCCAGCAACTCACTGATTTTCCCAGTGTTTCATCACATCCTGACTCTCTTAACATCTCACAGTACATATTTAATATGTCCTCTTTGTTCCACAGGAAGATGATGACATTGAAGAAGGGGACCTCCCAGAGCACAAGCGGTCTCCTCCTCCCATCGATTTCTCCAAGGTAGACCCCTCCAAGCCAGAAGAGCTGCTCAAGATGTCCAAGAAGGGCAGGACTCTTATGGTGTTTGCTACAGTGTCAGGGGATCCCACTGAGAAGGAAACAGAGGAAATCACAGGCCTGTGGCAGGGAAGCCTCTTCAATGCCAACTTTGATATTCAGAGGTAGTCCTCCCAATCCTCACTGAGCTCGTTTAGTATAAACAAGTCATTTGATCAGGAAGGCTAACTGCAGTAAATACATACAATAACTACAATGAATAAGTTATTCTCCAATCCTCTAAAACATTGGTAGTAGGTAGGTAGTAACACATTAGGTTTACAGACCCAATCCCACATTTAAAGCCACCACTCCAAAACCTACTTTACATTTAAAGTGATGAGCAGAGGCTGTTGTGTATCCAGTTTGTAGTCTTTCCTGGTGAAGAAATGTCTTGCAGTCAACTGAAACACAAACACACTTATAAGCCATAGTTGCTCAATTACTAAAAACTCAAGTTCTTGCTATTGTTAATAGAATTTTTGAACGGCTCCTTTAATATAAAAAAAAAAAAAAAACCCTGCCTGGCCTGACCTTAAAGGCCAAGCAGACTCTGGTTACACACACACACACACACACACACACACACACACACACACACACACAGACAAATAATACCGGCCCTTATGTCATGTGCCACCCTTTGCTAAAGAAATACGAGCCCCAGGATAATGTTGACGAAAAAAGTGAGTGATAGAAGCGTGTTAAGTGTTTACTAGAAGATATTTTTTATTTAAAAGTAAAAGCAGTTTTTATAAACTGTAGCAGTTTTTATAGATATTTACAGAGGGAAGCCTTAACCTTATAAGGTTACTAATATTCATTTATCATATAGATGTAACTCACTCACAGCCTGGCCAGTGGTTGCTCTTAAACACTCATTATCATGCTCACTCTGTCGCTCTGCTGACACACACATGCACAGTGGTGGGAAATATCATGAATAGTTAATGTTTTACAGCCCACTAACATTTTTGTCCTGTTTCATCTCCTCAACGGAAACAAAATATATGCGTCTTAAGCTTGTCAAATTCTCGTCTTTGTCATGGAGAAACGGTTGATGAATAACACTTATTTTTGTATTTTTTGTCAACAAAATGAACCCTGATTTACCTGTCCTCCTGCAGGTTTGTAGTGGGCTCCAACAGGGTGATCTTCATGCTGCGAGATGGCAGTATGGCCTGGGAGGTCAAAGATTTTCTCACAGCCCAGGAACGCTGTCAGGATGTCACTGTGGAGGGACAGGTATTCCCTGGTAAGGCCACAAAAAACAACAATGACAAAACTAAGATGCAAAATGAGGTTAACGGCAAGAAAAAACCCAAGAAGAAGTCAGAGGGCAAGAAGCCTGACGTGGAGGGGAACAGAGCCAGCCATCTGAAGCAGGAGCTGTGATGGACATGCAAAAACACTCTTTCTTCTGGCCTTCAGTGATAAGAGTGAACTTATAAATCATGTTGGGTACATTGACCTAAACTGCTGAGCTGGTTTAATGAGAAGTTTTCTGTTTGTTTTCTCGACCTCACAGCAGCAGCGTTGTACTGGCATTTTTGAAAATCATTGTTTGAGTGGTAACCAACTCTTAAAAGTTACCATGCTGTCTGATTATCTAGATTTGTTTCTGTTGCTCATCACCAAATGAAAACCAATACATGCACACTTTCTCACTTTTATAGAGGAGATTATGCCAAGCAGCCTTTCAGATAGTTTTTTCTTTTCTTTTTTTTTCTTTTTTAGGCAAAAGCCATGTCAGGTACAGTAATTCATTTTCCAGAGCCAGAATGATTTGTTCTTTTTATGACAAATAGAACAGCAGTGCATTCTGTAGAAGTATGCGTCTTCATGACTACCCTTTGAAAACTGGACTTCAACTGCATCCCCTTTCTGTACTGTCTTTAATCAGATCACGTGCTGTAGGCGCATTTAGGTAATACCAAACTCCTGATCATATCAGGCAACTGATTTATGTTTGGCTTTTTTTCAGGTTTTTACATGAATTTGTTTTTCTGATGTCGAGGTTCTGCCCTGTGTAAGGTTTGGTTAAAATTCATGTCATTGTCAAAAGTTGATCCCAAAGTATAACTCACATTTTCTGTTAATTATTCACTTTTTTTAAATAAACATTTTGTCAAATAATCTGATAATGATAATAGCTTTTATGGCATTGAGATCCAATTTCATTACATGAAGCCTTTCTGGCCATTTGAAAGAACACAGGTTTACAGCCCTTCAAAGTAATGACTACATACTTGAAAACTAGACATTGACTGCATCCACTTTCTATACTGTCTTTGATCTGAAGACTGTTAATCTTCTTGAATGACCAAAAGTTTTATAGGAATAAACCTGACTGTGCTTTGTTCTGAAAGGATTCCCTTTCAAAGAGGCATTAAAGTCAGTGATTTTAAGGATAATGATAAAGGAGAACAAAGCAATCTTTTCATTTCTAGACTAGTGTTCCCAGTAAGTAGACTTTTCAAAGGTGTTTGCATTGGTAGTCCATAGAGAGGCTTGTACAAACAACAGTTCATCAGAGGGAGAACTTGAGTGATAATAATTCAAACATGTTACCAATTAAAGAGGCAGTTTCACTTGAAAATAACACACTTTGTGTAACAACACTCCTGATATTGTTTCAAAAATGTGTGAGTTTTCATGTATGTTAAAGCCCCCAAATAAGCGAATAATTTGTGCAAAGGAAAACCATTAATCACGACATTCCTTGCATTCCATTAGGGTCCTTCAGTGCTTTGGGCCCTAAATGTTAGATATCCTTTTGCAAAGAGACAGACCTGGCTGTAATCTGTACCGCAAAGGGGCGTCTGTGGCTCAGTTGGTAGAGTCAGGTGTCTCTCAACCAGAAGTCTGGGGGTTAGTTCTCCCACATGTCTTAATCTATGTTGCTCCCGCTGCATCAGAATCAATACAGAACTGTATTGTCCAGCACTCACCTCTTGGCAGAGTTTTTAGTCCATCATCCAAAAACACTGGCACATAATTGACTTTGGTCCAGCACCGAAATGCTTTTGGACACCACCCCATGTTGTCCCGTGTTGTCCACGAGACATAATCTCAGAAACCTGTTTGTGAGAGCCCAACTTCTACTGTGCAACACTTTTCAACCCACATACTCAGCTCTGCTGCTCATCCCACAAATGCAGGTCCCTTACAAATATGGCATCATTTAAAAGGGAAATAAAAATAAGATTTATTGCCAAGAACAAAGAAATAATCTTCCAAAACAAACATTTCTTATGCGTATTGTTGCTCTGGTGTTGAAATGTTTCTCCCAGTTTATGATTCCATATCACATATTCATGCCACCACAGGTTGGGCAAACCCACTCTTGAAAGTCTGACTCTGACCTTGCCTTTGGCATTTTTTCTATGAAAGTAAGCAGGATGTCATAATTATTGGTTTGGATCCATTGAAATGCTGGGAATATAAAGACTCATGTCAAGTTTTGTGTTTTTTTCTTGAAGTATGCCCAAGAAGATGCAGCTGTACGATGATTTCTATTTAAAGAAGGGGAAAAAACAGATGTAAGCTTCACTCAGTGACATTTAGACAAATTGTTCAAGATTAAAATGATTTATTTCTTCACAATAGTCCTTTAAAAAAAATCAGATTTCATGTGGCTTTATTCATTTACAAGCCCAAACAACATATACAACACATCCATTTGGTGTACAGTCAAAACAAGCCAACTTACCAAGAGTCATATGCATGTTTGGTACAAATGCTTTATAATGGAGCATATGCGCTCGTATAAGCTCCATGCAGTATACATACAGGCACATGCAGTATACATACAGGACAATAATAACATTACAACTAAAGAGAAGTCCCTATTTGATTTGGACCAACTGTGTCTGTACAATAAATAAGTATAAAATATATCTCTTAGTAAACTTTAGATTTGAAAAACAATTCAAAACATACAAAACACTGAATTACTGCTACACCTTCCGAAAAAAGACCAGCTATTTCGGTAAAGGGAATTCTTTCATGACCAATTATTTTTCCATCAACTTTTTGTTTGGTTGGTAAATTGCACATTTAAAAATCCACACATTCAGTGGATATGTTTTTCAATATTTTATATTCTTAAGGGCTTCTTGCTGGTTCACCCAAAATCCCTTACAGATGGATCACAAACACCGATACAAAAAACAACGACATGTAAGCAACATTACAATATCAAATGTTAACAACCACAAGTCAAGAAGATAAACAAGGAATGTTTCTGTATTTTTCTCTCCTCTCTCTTTAAATAGTTGAGAAAAAAATGCACAATGGTAAACAAGTCAAGTATTACTGCCGTCACATATCACAGAGACCTGTATGGGAAAGATGCACCTACACCACATTTAGCATTAGTTCATTTTATATAAACTATTATCACCCAGGCTTGGAGAGAGATATTGCTGTTTTTTAACTTAAAGGCTCAAAGAAACACTTTTTACCAGGTTGTTCAGAGAAAACTGTCATTATTATTCATGACCATGGACAGATTTAGAGAGTCGGTGCACAGACAGGCCTCTAACCCCTCTGATATGGTGGGAAAAAATAGTTAACTACAAATGATGCAGTTGGCCGTTTATGTCACAAGGAGCTAAAAAAAGACAATACTGCACACTTCACTAATTTATGTTTTCGCAAGATAGCTGGATGTGGGAACAACTCCTTCAAAACACTGTTTTGTGTCCTCCAATGAACAAGGCAATATAATTGTGAATTATGACTTAATCAGGGTGCCGTCATGTTTCTGCAAAAACAAAATTCTGATTGTGTTCATTCAGAGATTAGTTAGAGTAATTTACTGCAGATCTGTGAGACTGTGTAGCTTGCTAACAGAGAGGTTGAATTGCTCTAGCAACACTTTTAGTTTAAAGATCAACTCTATTTGTCTAATGAAGTTGATCTTTAAACCCCTAAGTGTTGCTAAAGCCTTTCACTCTCCATGCACCAAACCAACAGCACTGTCATATTGGTGTCCTAATGTTTGATTTACACAGCATTGTGGCGTTGTGAAAGCAAAAGATGGAGGATGTGTAAACGAACAGGGCAAGCTTGCTCTCCCATTTAGCCTGTAGAGGCCTCTTGTTCTTATCACTTTGTTGCACCTCTGATATTATGGCCAATGCTGGCTTGTTGAGTTCTCCCTCACCATTTTGCCTTCATGCAGTTTACAAAGACAGTGAGGCCAGTCTGTGTAAAGGTGCTCATGTGAGCTGGTGCACAGTAATAATGCTTCTCTAACAACCCAACAGAACAGTTCACTCACAAACTTGATCAATGATTATCTCTAATAAGGTCTGTAGTGACAGCCCAGTTTTTCGCACACACACACAAATGGCCACTGTTAGCCACGACTGTTAAAGGGCTGGATGACTTCCAGCTGAAGGGTGTTTCCAGCTGTAAGCCCTGTACGTGAGGTTGTGTTTACACAGGCAGATTGTTCATGGGCAGTGATAATCGCTGTTGTTGTTTTGTTTGTTTTTTTAACCAGAATAACCTAACACAACCTACCAAGACCCATGGCTTAGAGTATCTGCAGTGATGGCAGTGTGTATTGAATGTGTACTTTGTGTGTCTGTGCATGTGCATGTGCTTTTAGGTGGTTATGGTGTTGATAGTTGGGGGGTGGGGGCAAGTCTGTGTCTGGGGGGGCTACATAGTCTTTGGGCTCTTCTCCCTGCTATGCTCACTGCTCACTCATAGTTTGAACTTGCGGACGACAGGCACAGGCAGAACTTGATGGATCTTGGCATGGTCTGCATCCACCTCCAGATGAACCCAGTCAGGTTTGAAGGAGCCCTTGAAGCCCACAAAAGCCAGTTTATCTGCAGGATGAACAAAACACAATAAGTGAGTTCAATTAAATAACAGGGTGTTCCTTGTGATTTCTTCTCCATAGCATCGTGGAGCTGCTAAAAACAGGTTCTCTGCAAAGAAACCCAAGAGTTGCCATTGGTACTGTCACATCACAGAAAAAAGCTTGTTGCTTTTGTATTCAATTGAATTTTTGGGATCATGTCACTATAACAGCAGTTGCTTCATTACTTCTCCGCTGAAGGCCCTGCTGGAAAATAATTGAGTTTCCCACTATGGCCACGTTGCTGTGAATTCAGATTCAGGGCAAGTCAAAGACATTGCATAACTTAGGTTTTTTATTTCAAAGCTTCTTGATTTTTAAGAAACCACACAGACAGTGGATACTGAAAATCTGGGGAGACATTGGTCTGTATTATGAGTTACATAACAGAAGATGACTGACACTTCCCAGTTAACATTTACGTTTGAAAATCATTAAAATGATAGAACAGGCGTATATAAATTCTAATAATAGCACTAATCTTGAACACATTGATATGAGCCTGATGTAAAATGAGCTGAATCTACTGTAGGCCTATTTGAGCCTTACAGCTGTGCAGCTCTGTTGTCATTTTCAAAGTGCTGTATCGTCAATTCAGTGTTGTGCCTATTTTTCCCATCAACAAATGAGGCAGTGAATTTGCCAGTATCACCAAAAGATTAAAAAGAGAGAAAAGACAAACTTGACTGAGTTTATAAACCTCTGCAGATGATACAAAATGCAGCAGCACGACTGGTCTTCAACCTTCCTAAAAGAGCACATGTCACTCCTCTGTTCATCTCCTTACACTGGCTCCCAGTTACTCTTCACATCAAATTTAAAACTCTGCTGCTCACTTAACAAAACAGCGTCAAAAACGTCTCCTCCTCACTTTAACTCTCTGATCCAGGTCTACACTCCCTCCCCCCCCACTACGCTCTGCCAATGAAAGGCATCTGATCCAACCTTCACAACAGGGTCCTAAGTCTCTGACTAGACTCTTCTCCTCTGTCGCCCCCCGCTGGTGGAATGAACTTCCAAACTCCATTTGATATGCAGAGTCCTACTGCACCTTTAAGAAAAAGCTAAAGACCCAGCTCTTTATGAACACCTTCGCAAGTTGCTCAGATGCGACTAAACTAGAACATAACAGTGATGCCAACATTCAAGCTTCCCCCCCCTGAGCGTGAAGTCACATCATGACATGACTTTGCTGGTCTGTTTCACTATTCAATTTAACTTTGATTTTTAAAGTAAGGATCTGATTTAATTTGTCATTTGCACATATTTTAAGTGAAATATTTGCTAGCGAAAACAAATTACAGCACACTTATTTTTCACTATTATTATAAATATGACAGAATGATGCAAAACTCTATTTTCTTGTTTGTTTCTCATGGACAGTGGATATGAAGAACATTTCCGTATTATGTTAAATTTACAGTCATGGAGGGATAGGAATCTCAGGATACAGGGAACCTAAAGTCAATAAGACGTTTAAACAATGGACATGTAAGCAATAAAGCAGTGCTATATAAGCAATATATTCAGTTTGAACATCTTGAACTCATAGAGTTGTCTTTTTCATTGAGATGCTGGATATGCTGCATGGTTTGAATTGAGCTGACGAAAAAAATAAAATCAAACAGACTGATAGCATTTTCTATGGAAAACTTTATTTGTATATAAATACAAATGAAATACTTCCTCTAAGGCTGTAGATATTAATTGGTCTACTCTATTCTAAGAATATTTTCTTTAGATATAACTATTCTTGATGGATGTATATTTGTAGGCAGCACGAGCTACCATGTCAGCTATTTTAACACTCATCACATGACACAGCTTACATTTTTGTTTGAAATAAATTACTTTTATCAATTTTTACAAGAAGGAACTAACTTTTTCTGAAAGTTTTTGACAATAAACTAGAATTATATCCTGAATATAATATTTATTTGAATCCCTGTAGGATATTAGTATTTTTATGTTGGAGTTGTTTAAGTTGGTACGGTAACCCGGTAGTTTTTCCATGACAAACAATGAAGTATTGCACCCAGAAGTTTTGGACAGCCCTCACTGTGGTGGAGCCTACTCGAGCACACATTTATAGTGGAAGAGTGCAGGAAGAGGTTGGAGAAAGGCTCTAAAAAAATGATTGTCACATCTGATAGAGCAACAACACCATCTACTGCATAATCCAGTTGTTGCATGCTGAAGCCCTTCACTGTGAGCATATGATCCCAGCAGACCTTTAGTACAGACATAGTTTACCTTTCAATTTGATGCTTCTGTCTGCTCCAAGTCTTTCTAAGACTCTAGTCCAGGATCCTCTGGTAACCAGACGGCCTTTCGATGTGAGGAGGACAATTGTACTAGAAAGAGAGAAAGATTACATCATTCAGGCTCAGCAGTCTAACTTATTGCAATGCAATTCAATTACTTTGCAGGCCAGTGCAACACTTCAAAGAAGAAAAAAGGAAAGTAAAAATAATAATAATAGTAATAAATAATATAATTTAGTTTATACTTTAGTGATTATAATACTAAAATATTTGATGCTCTTTAGATTGTGATTGAAAATTAAATGTTTACTGAATGATTTTTCACAGAGTGTAGTGATAATGTAAATAGTAATAGTGCGTTTGTGCAGCAGAGCAACAGGGTCTTACCCATTTCTCAGTCCACTGACGTAATTGTCGATCTGTGCAGGGATGCCCTGCAGGATGGAATTCCTAAAAGCTTTGCTCTCCCCCACCTTCCCATCATGGCCATCAATGACCGTCAGCTGCACCCCGTCTTCTGGCTGGTACAACTTCCGTCCGTTCACCTGTCACAACACAGCCAGTCAATAACTAAACTGCTCTGAGCTTGAAATGAAAACACTGCAATAATGTTGGTCAGAACACATTAAACATGGCAGAGGGGAAACACGCAGAGCTCTTAATTAAACAGATAAATTAAACATTTTTATTTGTTGAATTTTTCAGAACACTGCAAACAACAACAGCAAACTATTGAGAGTAGATGGCAGCTCCTCTTTGTCTGCAGGTTGAGAAGGCTCTACACAAACACTGGGACACTCTGCAAGGTGCACAGTTAAAGAGAAACCCAACCCACCACAGGTCCCCCACAGAGCACTCAGCATTAAACGGTTCTGCAGCCTACAGGCCATGAAACTGATCAACTCTTGTCTCAGTATAAATATTTATTAGTGCAACTGGCTCTTTTTTAATCCTGTTATTAAAGCATTACAGCTCATTACATTAAAATGTCTATTATTCTCCAATATTGCAATCATTTACTCAGAATGGTTTGTTATGTCCTCTATTCTCTTCTGATTTGAGTGATTACAAAAATATACTTTTTATGAGCTTTTATTGTCATATAAGGCCTCTAAGCGCGTCTCCTGATTAAGTACAGTTAGAGCTGGGGCAGAGGTGTTCTGCTGCCTGTGGACATCACACACTTTTTTATTTGCTTTTAAAGACAACAGGATCGCTCTGCCCTGTTCTGGCACACAGCTATATTATTTCAGAGAGGTTGATTACCAGGAACCCAGATCAATGGGTTGAATAAAAGATTCTAAATGCCTCATCAGAAAACACTCCTTACAGTAAATCTTCATTATTATGTAGCTGAAAAACTTACCAAAGGACCAAAATGAAACCATTGAGCTAACTCAATTTGAAGCATACCTAGGACACAAACACTTGGATGACCAGAAATGGTATTATATTATTTCAAACTATAAAAACCGACTTCATGCATTTGCTGTATTTGATCTTGATTTTTGTAGTTCTTAATTAAAATAATCTAATAATCTAATAGGTTGCTCATATCTCTTCAAATGGCAGAAAATGCTTCTGCAAATGTACTGACGAGAACTAAACAAGGAGATTTCATTCTATTTCTCTGTATGGGCTCATTGTTACAGACTGCCTGCTGTTGTAGACCTACTTGACTTCATCTGCTTCAGTTATTATAAACAGTCATACCTATTATGTTCATTGTTATTGCTTATATTAGGAATTTCTTTCAATATTACAAGCATTGCAAATGTACTTCTCTGCTTTTCCTGTCTTACAATTTCAATTCAGCTCAAGTCAAAGGGGCTTTGTTATTGTTGTTACTCATGCTAATCATGAGTAACATGTGTTTACATTGCCAGAGCTATAGTCAAAATAAAAAACAAACAATAAGAGAATAAATCTGTAATATTACTCTCTATCTCTATTCCACCTTCCTTGACCCAGCTGGTCACAGAGGATGGCTGTTCACCAATGACTTCAGTTCTGCCATTTAGAAGGACATTTTTTTGTTGGTGTGCCGCTGGTGCAAAGTGCTTTTGTGATGTTGGATCTTTCTACATACTAAGTACATTTGGTTGCCTTCTGTTTTTCTGTTGTCATTTGGCACAAAATATTAAAAAAAAGATCAAATGATTCTGTAAGTTCAGTGACGCATAACCAGGATACCTCAGCAAAGGCAAAGTCCTCCTTGATGTGGAAGAAGCGAGTGTTGTAGGACTCCAGTTTGATTTCAAGGAAGTGATCAGGTGAGTGCTGTCAGTACAAAAGCAGAGAAACAGAGAGTTAATACACATGATTGTCAATTCACAGTTTGAAGTCTGTTTCACTCCAATCAAAAAGATGAACAAATCAGATAAAAAAAACCAGCTGTATATGTAACTACAAGAAAAAGCAAATTATGTTTTTTTCATAAACAGGATGTTCATGTGTGACGAGGGGGCCTAAACCTCAATAAACTACATCATCTGACTTTGGTTAATTGAGGATTGTTTGGATTAAATTCATGAATTAAGTGCTCTACATGCAGTTCATCTGACAGGTACTTCACGATTGGCAAAGAAAAAAGAACACAGATTAGGATGTGCATTGATTAATAACAAATAGGAAGACATATATTCCAATGTCGTCACAAATAATGCTACCAGTTCATTTCAAAATGTCTTCTATTTTCTGCCCTCTTCCTCTTCCTCGACCCTTGAATAACACCTTATTCAACTTTGATCATAAAACTCCCCCAAGAACACGATGATTGAATTGAATTATATTTCTACGTCATCTGTTATATTTCATGTATTAAAAGCTTGATTAGCATTATGTTATTGTGCTTTACATGTTTTTTGTTCACCATCAATTGTTTTGGAAAAGTGCAGTATAGATACAATTATAATAGTATTATTAATATCATTATAGTTTGGTCACTAACTAACTATCTTATCGATTTATTTATTCTGTAGTAAGATACTTCATTTATAAATCCTGTAGTGTTATTTAAATAAAGGATATTCAGTGGCCACTGACCTGAAACAGCCAAAACCATGCACATCAGGAAAAAGGTGAGGGCATTTTAGAAAAGATATGAATTCAAAAGCAGATCCAGGTGTCCAAAACAGACTAGACAAACAAACACTAACCGTATTTTGTATAATTATTCAGAAATCGTATGAATAAATCGTATTTATTCTAAAAGGTCCTGCTGTAAAACAATCAAGCATGCAACAGATTTGTCACTTAAACACCTTGTGTAAAGGTTATTATAGTTCTCTTTTAACCAATCATTTAATGCTTAATGCTTATTTTATATTCAGAATTTTAAATTTTAAATAAATTGAAATATTGTTATTGCAGGATTTACTCTCATCATGAATTTAAGTGATTTAATAAAAATAATATAATAATACAAATTGAATATGAAGTTACTAAATTAAAGGAAGGGCTGGTCATTTTCTCTAGATCCACTTTTTCAGATTTTGGTTGAAATTGTCTTTAGGTCCTGACAGACATTAATTATGCATGTGCCTTGAAAAAGGAACGAAGAAAACCTGTCATCTGTAGCAGCTTTGTAAGCCTGTAAAAACTTTGACCAATGTCTGTCACGAGGTACCAATCTGATGAGCCAATCATGGCCTCTCACCAGCATGGCATTGGGTGTCTTTGTGGGCATAGGTGTATCCACAACAGGCAGCTCAGCGTGTCGGGGGTAGGCCTGGGCCATGCAGTTGCTGGGTGGACTGCCTTTAGGAATGACAGCTGTGATCTTCACCCTCTCACAGCCTTTGACAGAGCAGAAGGCAAACTGTTCCCTGTCGTTATGGGCTTTCACCTTCAGGAACAGCAGGCTGCAACACACAAGGGTAGAACTTCAGACTTCATATACATGTGATTCATTCAATTGGCAGTTAAAAATGTATGAAGTGAAATGCAGACATGTCATGTTACAATTATGTTTTCTCAAGCCTTCTACCAGAACTACCAAACTCCTTATCTTCTAATAATGACCTCTGTGTCTGAAGATAAGGACTCACTTTTAATCACCAGTAAGCATCTCTTAATAAAAGGAAAAACACACATATGAGAAAGATGCCATATAGAAAAGAGGAACAGAGTCTCTTGATAACGACATGATTCTATTTTCAGATGCTGAAACACATATGGTTTTATGTCACTCATACAGAACACAAACATTTGTATCTCTGCCTCTAACTGATCACATATAAATTAGCATTGGACAACAGGAAATGATTGTATTTCAACCAGTGGAATATATTATACTCAGAGAATGTGGTTATTCCTTATATAAATACACTGACATCTACATTTCTTCAAAATGTTTTCTGATGCTCGATAATAGTGTTAAGACAAGATGAGACAAAAAAGACAAGTTAAGATAGATCTTATTTATGGACTATTTGTGAAGTTAAGTTGATACAACAGCTCATAGTAGGATGTGGTGGAATTTCTTTACCTATGTATTAAGATTTAAGTGTACAAACATCATTATGTTTATTCACTGTTCTCTGGTGTCAGTCAGACCTGATAGAGTTCAGCTGTGACTAGAAAGCAAGGACAGCTTAGTGTGTTGAGGGTCTTCCCCTTTATATCTGCATGTTTGGTAGACTTAGTGTCTGTTCCAAATTGACATCACAGATTAGTCTAGGTCAGTGTGACTCTGACGTCGATAATGTCTTTTCTATATATTCAAAGGCTGTCGAAGAGTTTGGGAGAATTGGCATGGCAGGGACACAGCATCAGACGTGTGCTTGCTACTCCATCTCTGCTCTGGAGTATTCTTGTATGTATAAACTTTCATCAACATAAGCCATCTGAGTCAACTGAGTCTTATTGTGTGAAGTCAAGTCTTAGTAATTTCCTCAACAAATAAGAGACAAGAGCGATCACGTGGTCGACAACAATGCACAAAGGGAAAATTTAATCAATTTTTTTTTTAAATAGGATAAAAAATGATAGCAATGAAAATAATAATAAATCCAGTGTTTGGATGTTTGGAAAATTATGTTATACTTGTGGTGGTGGGGTGGTAGTGACAAAAATACACCCCCCCCAACCCCCCCACACACACACACACACACACACACACACAACAGAAGTACAAAGAAAGTATAAGAGTAATAATAATTGTTTAAATTGCACTAAAACTGTCCCTTCAAGTTAAGTTGTTTTTTCTCTCCACTAACTAACCTGAGGTAAAAAGTTGCAATCTAAAAACTTGCTACCATCAGGTAAAGGAAAGGAACTTTTTAAACATCAAATTTAAGCACCAGTTTATGCCTTCTCTAAACCCCCGTGTTTTTGTGATTTAATGACTTAACCTTGTGTCCTCCTTTGTTCTTGTCCAATGATAAAAAGCATTTATTTGAATACATCGGATAGATGGATAGATTAACAAACATGTGGACTTGAAAAGTTCTTGTGCTTTTACACGATATTTCCCTCCAGAATTTCAAAAGCTGCAGCTTTGCACAAGAAGTCTTTGTATAGTTTATATGCAATTTTTTATGCCATGACGGGATTTACTTTAGTTTTATACATATACACAAAATGTAAGCAAACTTATCATACTTAACTTTGTGTGTTACTCAAGTGTGTTTGTGTGTGTGTGTGTGTGTGTGTGTGTGTGTGTGTGTGTGTGTGTGTGTGTTTGTGTGTGGTCTGACCCAGTGTCTTCCTCCCAGTGGTAGTATCCCCTGGCCAGGTGGGAGTGGTTGATCTTGTCCCTCTGTGTTGTCCTCATGAAGACGCCGGTCTTGTGGGTCCTTTTGGTCAGACGGTTGTGGATGTCAGAGATGATGGTGAAGTTGGTGCCTTGTGGGTAACAGATGCCCACACTGATCCAGTCATTTCTGAAACACAACAATCAACATATTGTACTGATTACAGCCAATCCACTTCTTACAGCCATGCTTATACTATAAATAAACTCTTCTTTCATTTATCTGATGAAAGTCATATTTCATCAGCTGTTTCCTTAAATCACTTGCATGATTTGAATGTGAACTGCAGAGGGAGCCATAAGAATAAAGTTGATAACAATGTAATGGTGTGGCTCAGTTCTGTTCATGTCAGGATGGGTTCATGCCATAAAGAACAGCTGATGTGCTTTAAAAGAAAACCAGCCTTTAAACGGTCTCATGTCTCAAGGTTATCTAAATGGAGGAGCTTGAGGCAAGGCTCTCTTCATATTTGTGGAGAACAGCCTCCATCAGTTAATTTGACCAGGGTGACCTCAGGAGCTGCCCTGTGATTAACAGATAAGGAGGATCAGAGTTCAACATTAACCAGGTCATTAACCAGGTCAGCTTTAGCTCTCAGTGTCGTCATCCATAGCAGCTTTATGTGAAACTGCTCCAATACATCTTATTGTAAAATATACAGCACAATGGGAATCCCATTCAGTGCGTTAAATGTATCTTCTGACATCAATGAGAACATTGCTCTTGCTCTGTTCTGTCAGAGTCACTCACAGAAGTCCCTTCACAGCTCTCAAAATGTGGCGAGAAACTATGCTGAATTGAGAGTGTCCTTTCCAAAGAACAAAACCTCGACATGCTTTGCAGAGAAGACATGTTAACCCTTTGTGTTTCCTCAAACTCAAACAAAGATGAGAACCATTAAACACATTGATCTACAGCTTTAAGTCATGTGACTGACACAGAGGTGAGCTCAGGAAAGCAGAGGCCACTATTGAACACTGTGGAGCTGCAGAACTGAACTGGAAAACAAAGGTCAGTTAGGCTTTTTGTTTTCAGGCTGATTTTGTCGCTGACTCTCACTTACATGGCGTGCTGTTAGGACACGGTGGAGTTAAGACGGTGGTGATCGATCAAAAAATGTTCTATTATTTGAAAAGAATCAATCATGGCCCCTTTTAAGAAGTCGAATATCTTGGCATTGTAAAAAGCTTATGTTTTTTATTTTTATTTATAGCTTACTGGATAAAATTCACTTCAGTTAGGCTAATCATTACCCGAATGAACTGATTAACTGTCCTTCTGAGGTTAACGTCTTGGTTAAAGTCTTTATATGTGATTTTTTGATCCAGCAGATGTCGCCCTTGAGCACCAGCATGAAACCAAAACAACTTGCGCTGCATTGTTGTGTTAGCGTGCTAATGCTAGCGATCTTTATTATGCTCGTATCTTCACACTACATGTAAATTTACCTGAAATGAGCGTGATCTAGAAACGCAGTTAAGCAGTGAGTACAGTATGTTATTCTTCTTTTCTCTAGTCCCTCAATTAAACAACTTTTATACACGAGGGGAGGAGTCAGCCGGCCATCCAGGCGATGTAAACAAACTGAAGATAGGACTCGGAAAACTCACAGAGTTATTTTCAGAGGATATACTTGATTTATATTACATTTAAGTGTGAAAAATCACATATAAAGCCTTTAAAGAAGTTTTGTATTTGTATTATCAACTGTGTCCACCTCTGCCTGAATGCAAACATGTAGGCTACTATCATCTTACAGTCAAAAGGTTTCAAATATGCCTCAGTCACATGTGCCTTTTTAAGCAAATGTCCAGCTTATTAGCTCTGAAGGGTCTTCTTTCTATTGTGAAGGGTCTAGGGGGCATAGTGTAAAAAGAACGACTGACTTGTTGAAGTTGATGAGCCAGATGGTAACCTCAGCAGGCGCCGCCTGGTCCCAGTGGATGGTGTATCCTTTTGCCAATGTAATGACTGGCTGGAACTGCTGGTAGTGTTTCCTCTTCCCGAGAGCTCCCTCCAGTGTGAGGGGCCGATCAGGGTACTCATTTCTCACAATGAGCATGTCCAGGTATGCAGGGTTACGTATCTGAATGTAGATCTGAAGGGAACATGGCAATGTAGTTACAAGGCTCATTCTAATATCAAGAGAAATAATGAAGTTCAAATAATAAAGGTCAGTGTGAGTAATGTGATGTACGCCTTTATACCTAATGTTGCAAACACAAGTAACAGCAACAACCAAATGCTGGTATATAATGGTGAATTAAGTAAACAATGATATTTCTTAGGAACATTATCAAAGGTATGTACTTCTTCATTGAGGAGTTTGTGTTGTAATTTGAATGAATGCACAACAGTGTATCATACTCCTGACCTTGAAAACGTCGTTAATGATATTGTGTTAGTAAATCTGAACCTCTTTCTCCCAACACATTTCAAAACAAGGATGTTAGAATGTGTGTGGTGAACCAATAACATTGTGACTGAAAGCAGATTTGTATTTGTGTCGGCTTATCTGTAAGCATAAATCTGTAATCTATCACACCTGTGCGTAGCGGCCACTGCAGATAGCCGCCCTCCAGTCAGGCACATGGATGCAGTCAGGATGACGGAGCAGCCAGTTGTCCTCCTTGACCAGGAACGCTCCGGGATATTCGCTGACTGAACCATCGATGTCGTGGAAGATGGTGGTCTTGTCCCCGTCCATCTCCATCTTGTTAAACCAGGGTCCCGGCTCCCCAAAAAACACACGAGATGTGATCTGAAGGAGAGACAGAGGGTGATAAACTCAAACATGCTTACATCAGTATATGCTAATTATTACATTATTTATGACAGTACCTGAAATGTTCTGTAGGTGCATAAGCACATGAAATAAACATACATACAGTATAACTGAGGCTGCCTGTATATTTAACCAATAACAATTCAACAATACATTAAAGGCTTTCTATGTGATTTTTGCGAGTTGTTTTGGTTTCTTGCTGGTGCTCAAGGGCGACATCTGCTGGATCAAAAAATCACATATAAAGCCTTTAAAGGAAGAATGTGAGACTTTTTGATCCAGTAGATGTCACCCTTGAGCACCAGCATGAAACAAAAACAAACTGCTGTTTGGCCACACCTCCTCCACAGTGAAGCCTCTGTTCTCCACCAGCCGCACACCTCCATCCCCTGTTCTGTTAGCAGGCTAATGCTACCACACTAGCTTCATATGGCACATAAAGTGACACAGAATGGCTGTGATTTAAACAAAACAATAAGCAGCGAGGAGGCGTGTGTGTTTCTTTTTCTAGTCCTTGACTAAAACAGCTTTACACACGGGGACTCAAGCTTCTCACTGTAGACAGTCATGACTCAGAGAGACATTTACACAGGATATTCTTAATTTCTTCTGTATTTACGTGTGAAATGTTGCACATTCTTCTTTAAGTACATGGTTTAGATTTGCTGTATATCAAACTGTTACAGTTTGATATACAGTACTGTTAAGTATTTGGGGTCCTCTGGTGGTCAGAACAGCTCCCTTTGTAACTTCATGTTTGTCAGTTGAAATAAGAAAAAATACTTTGCTTACAGGGTGAAATTATTGTTTTGTAGTACAACTAAACCAACAAACAGGAAACAAAGGCAGGAAACATGAGAGGAAAAATAAGAAGATACTGGTCTAAGCCCCAGCTCAAAATTCTCTAGCCAAAATCACCAAGATACAGAGTGACTTAGAAACTCTGCAGTTCTCTACACCGAACAGACTGACACCTTCATTTTTTTGCTTTTCCAGTCTCCTCTATAAAATTTGACAAATAGTGGAATGAATAGGTGGGTAGATGATTTCAGATGTAACCCTTGAGCAATGGTGCAACACACACATGTTGAGTTAAAGGTTGAATGTGAAACAGGTGCTGACTCACAGGTACGTGGTCAAAAGTGATATTAGTGACGTTGTTGTTCGGGCAGCTCTGCCAGGAGTTGTTGAGTCTGAAGCCAAAGGCACTGGTGTGTCGCCCGTCTAGTGCTGTGTATTTTCTAAAAGTACAGTTCTGCATGTTGATAGGCCCGTCGTAGATCTGCATGCCCCGGATAGGAAAATCACTGCAGGGAAACACACACACACACAAATCACACACACACATTCATACATGTACTCCTCTGAGAAATATATTTTTTAGTATTCTTCTTAAAAAACAGTCCAAAAAGTAGGTGGAGGCGAGGCTAGTGGATGAACATACATCCCCTTCCTCATTTTGTAAGACTAGAAGCATGGGTTGAAGTCCCTCCTATAATTTAGGTCTCACTCAAGCACCGAGGGGTGAAGAACCTTTTGAACATTTTTCCAAACTCGATTGTATTTTAAAGTACTATTCTAAACATGCTGTGAACATGATATGGAAATACAATTGTGATTTTGTCTATGTTTTACTCTATCCACTTTCCTATATTCCTAAATAAATGCAAAAGCCCCCCCCCCCCCCCCCCCAAAAAAGCTGTAAGCACTGGTACCTGACAATATCGCTAGAGTAGAAGTTCCAGGAATACCAATTTCTGCCCTAAACCTGACTGTACAACACTGACACTACCAGATTACCTGGGGGTCATGCTCAAACATATGTGATGTTCAAATGGGCAAACACACTACAAGGATAAAATAACGAACCATAACAAGATACTAATGTGTTTTTTATCATATACAATATACAGTAAGCATGCTTTACAAAGACATCCAAAAGCAACAGTGTGTTTCTTTCAAGCTGCAGAGTTGATTAATTGTAAATGTAAATGGTGGATGAGAGCTGAGTTACCCTTTTAAAGCAAAAAAAAAAAAAAAGAAATAGGGACATTTGTGACTTACATGCCATGTGGCAGGGTTCTGCCAGTAAAGTCAGAACCACCAGGGCCCCAGATGTGGTTGTCAGGCAGGGGCCTCCCACGATTTTCACTTTCGCCAACAAACAAAGAATTTATCACCTGCTGATGAGAGCCGTCATCGTCTGGGAAAGTCCCTCCACTGCACACACAAAATGGGAGAGTTACAGTGTGAAGGTGTAGGAGCAATTATTTAACTTTGATTTAGGATATAAAGTTTAAAAAAAGAATGTATTCTAATGAAATTCAATACAGTGGAAATCAAGTTTCTATTCTTGTAACTGTGCTAGCAGACAGGCGCCAGATCACCTCGTGGTTATGTCAGACGCCACATATACAGAGGCTACAGTCCTCGTCGCAGTGGCTGTGGGTTCAAATCTGACCTCAGCCCTTTGCCGCATATCATTCCAGACTCTCTCCTCCCAACATTGCCTTTCTCTCCTCAGCTTATTAATCAGCTTATTTAAACCATGATGGGGTAATGAAGGGTCAATAACAACCACAACAAAAAATATGAATTCACAAGTTAATTAAAACAAAAGAGTGACCACCACAGAGCAATGTGCCATAACCCACAGCTTAGAAAAAAAAACACTTAAATTAATTATTTGTTCAACTTTTCCTGAGCACAATAACCCTGACTACTACTTTTAGAAATATCTGAATGTCATAATAATAACTTGAGAATATAAGTGTAAATATAGCCTTTGTGACATCCACAAAAGTCTCTTGTCCTTTAGAGTCCGGTGCTCAGCCGGTGCCATCTTCAGCCCTCGATAGGCATCTCAACAACCTTATTGTATATGTGTTTCTATCTGCAGGCCTCTGCACCTAGTGGGCAGTTACCTATGCTCATTTGGAAAACGGGCACTCCCTTTCAATTTCTGAACACAAAGTGATAACACAACAGCAAAGAATTCAGTCATTTAAGAACAGGTCGGTGAATCTGACAGAGAGAAGTCTTAGAAATCCTCTTTAGAACAACTTCAAGTTTCAAAAAACTTCAGTTTCAAAAAACTCATGAAAATAAGAAGATATTGGTGAATGAGGCCCGTTGTGTAAACTTACTTACAGGCGTTTGTGTGAAATCCAAGGCACCCAGCCATTTTTAATCACAATGAATCAAAATGCATCCTCAGCAGGAGTAAGAACATTGATTTAACAGGGTGGGGGTGGGCTTACCTTGCAAGAGTGAGGCCGATGCCATTATCAGCAAATCTAAGCAAGAAAGGGAGAATATAATTACTCAGAGAGTCTAAAATGTTATTCAACCTGGATACTTTTCTCCCTTTCAACTCACTGTCATCTAACAAAACCTGTGAACTCATAATGTTTTCTATCACAGTCAGTATCATTGAAAGTTGAAAAACAAAATCCATATAAAGATAGGTGGTTTATTTACTTGGTCAAAGTATTGCTTCATTTTGTGATACTCACTGGCAGTCATCCAACCAGACGTCCCCTCCTCTCAGCCAGGCTCCATGGTCCTGGTTCTTAAAGGCTACAAAGTGGTGGATAAGAGCAGGAATTCTTGGTTTGAATGGGTCAGCGTCCTGGTGAGGACCATACCTAAACCATACAGCAGTCCCACCAAAACAAAAAAAACAGAGTGGAAAAAACTTCATTAGCATTTGTTTGAATTTGCTATTCATTTAAGAGTGACACACAAACACTAAGGAATTATATCTTTAAGTGTGAGTACATTTCTCAATAGACATTTAAAAGCATAGAAATGTTGCAGAATTACAATAAAACATTTCTCATTGTAATTCTGCAACATGTTTTAGGTCAAAATAATAATTATGGTTATTTTGATAATGGGTTTCCAGTTATGGTTCACAGTTAAGGTGAGAGATTGTCTCAGCTGTTCTTTGCTGTGCTTGTATTTTAAACTGTCTTTTAAAATTGACTTCAGCCACATCGAAAGCTTTGACCATAAAATGAACTGCTGATGAATTTGTCAACAGAGAACAGGGCAGCGGTTGTGTTTGTGTGTGTGTGTGTGTGTGTGTGTGTGTGTGTGTGTGTGTACTTTTTTTAACATCTTCAATAGATGTTTCTCTAATCGTGGAAAGGCAAAAACCATGATCACTTCTATAATTAAATGAATTGTGCAACACTTGATCAGAGTTCAAGAGCGCATATAGCCTAGTGGTTGGTGCCTGCAGTGCGCCCCATGTATGGAGGTTAAAGTCCTCTAAACTTTCAGGCATTCCTCACTCTCTCTCTTCTCGATTTCTGACTCTATCCGCTGTCCTGTCTCTCAAGGTCGAAAAATACAACTGAACAAAACCCCCACTAGATCAGAGTTCCACCAATCAAAGAAGGTCAGAGTGTCTCCACAACACTCCTTTGCCTTGCTGTAATACATCATCAAGATGTATGAAGATGCATTTGGATTTTAAGTTCTGATAAAATGCATAGTTTGAGGAGAAGGAAAGTTATATTATGGATATCTTTTTTTTCTGCTGATCCAAGAAACAATTGGATCAACGACAAAAATCTAGTGATCCCATCCAAAACTATTGCCCTACTAAACATGATCCTTACAGAAAAACACTCACACTAAATCATACTGGCTTGTCTTCAGTTGGTAATACAGGATGTTTATTTGTCACAGGGTGTGCTGAGGAGTCTTACCTGGCTCCAATCAAAGACAGGAAGGGTCTCTTGTCCTTGTCGTTTGCCAGTGTAGTCTTAACTCCATTATCCAGGATCATACCGGCCTGGAATGAAAAGAACAACATGGCGTTAAGTAGTGTGGGATATTGATTAAAAATGACAAAGAATAAAGCAACGACATCATTTATCCTCGCCCCTTCATAATACCAAATGACTAACTAATACTAATTGTTTGTTATGTAATTATTTAAACCTTCATTGATTTTTTCCTTTAACATATTCAAATTGCAAATGTTTCACTCAGTCAACAATGAGTTCGTTTGCTCCTCTGAAACTCATTCAATGTGAAAGCTTTATATTCAGAGGTTGATCAGTTGTTGCATTATTAATGCATTTTTTAATGATTGCTAAATTGACTGCAGACTCCAAATTCTGTAAATATGAAGATGACGTGGATTCTCATATTTAGATTTGAAGGGTTGCTGACCAAGCTGCCATATTTGGGGAGTTTGACTCGACCAGTTCTGGGCTGACAGTTTGGGGATTTAATGGAATAAAGCTGCCAACACAGCTTGGCCTGCTTGGAGAGCAGATTGCATCTTAAATAATTAGATCCATGAAGAGCTTTCTTTAAGTCATGTTACTTCAAATATTCAAGCTTTTGTGTGATAGACTAAAACTAATGATCTATCCATTGACATTAAAACAGGACAGACTCCACACATCACCACAGTCATATCAACATCTATCAAGCTGTAATGGATAGGAGGTCAAGCCTGGCCCACACTAAAAGATTTGAAACATCTCAACAGATTTTTGAAACATGAAAAGACCCCACACATGACGACAGTTTTGTTTAACAAAGGATGACACAATCTACTTAAAGTTCACTGCAATGAAGGAATAGAGACTATTTTTAAACTCAAATCTTAACGAGAAAGTTTTTAACAACATATGAATGCACAATCCTGTATCTAGATGTTACGTAAAATTGTGATTGAAACAAATCTCTGAATAGTTTCCCTTTTTGAATCACAGACATCATTGTTGTGTCAGTACTCAACCTGACACAACCTTTCCACTCATAAACATCTTTGGGTTGCAGCCTGACATGAGTTATGCTCCTATTAGGATGATCTAAATTAAAAGTGAAGATGGATGGGTAAAATGAAATATAAAGAGAGGGGATCGCTTTTGGGGATGAGAAAATAAGGATATAACAACAACAATTTCCCTCTACCAGTGCTTCATAAATCTCTCTCTGTATGAGCTGAGCTGTGCTCGAGGCCTCAGGCGCCTCCCAAACTCTCATGTCCTCTCCATCTCTTCCGTCTCCCTGACTCTGTCCTCTTTCTTTCTTATCTGTTTTTTTTCCGTTCTTACTCTTTGCCTTTTGCTCTTCTTCTCTTCTTCTCCACTAACACTGTGAACTTGTTTTTCTCCATCCTTCGCTGTTAAGGATGGAGTGTTTCCAATACTCCATAGACATTGAAGTCAATGAAAAATCTCTGTCTAAACATAACTTTTGAAGTAGTGAGCTCCATGTCAATACACTGCAACAGCTTTTGTCACTCTTGCAGAAACAACATCACTAATCAGTTCAGACTTCTCTTGAATAAAAATAACATGCTTATAGGTAATCGGATAACAACTGCATAGCAATACATAAGATTAATTCTATACTTTAGTTATCCAGAGTCAATCTTAAAACCTATCTGCAAACATCGTCTATCCCCCAAACCCATGCAGGGCGGCTGTGGCTCAGTTGGTAGAGTTGTTGGGTTCGATTCCCAGCTGGGCAACATGTCCGATGTGTCCTTGGGCAAGACACTTAAGCCCGAATTGCTGTGTGAATGTGTTGGTGTGACATGCAGTGTAAGAGAGCTTTGAGTAGTCTGAAGACTAGAAAAGCGCTATATAAGTTCAAGTCCATTTACCATGTACTTCCGGTGCAGGCAGCGGATTGTTGAAATTTCCAGGCAAGCAATAATGTCTGCAGCATAAACTCTGTCATTTGTTGGTCCATTACATCACCAGTATAGCACCTGTTCATCTGGTTTTAGTGATTTCCAGTTCAACAGAAGATGAAAGTTACACATGGGCTATTTATTTAACAGGCCTTAATATCAACATCATGACGCAGACTTGTTCAGAGTAAAAATGTCAGATCGATCATTTATTATGTGTTTCAGGGAGTGGAAAGCTGATTGACTTTCACGAGTTGTTGCTGAAGTTTAAGTGTGTCTGATCTATATTGGTTCCAAATTTCTTATTTGGTTCTTTCCGTGATTTGAACCATCGACCCTCCAACACCCAACCCATTTCTACATACTAAACTACTGGTGCCCCCAAACACCTTTATTCTCACTGTGCTGCGTTTTTATACACTCTGATTAACCTCCAGCTTGTGTCATTTGAAGTTCATGCTATACAGTAGATTGTGTATTTGACAGGGACTAGCTTTATCCGTTCACCCTATAGGTGAAACATTTGCTTTTATTAGTTATTATAAACTCTTGCATGTGGTTCCAATGAATATCAGCTTTGATAATCTACATATATATATATTCAGCACAGCAGGGAAACATTCAATCATTCACTTGAGTGGTCTGTTAGGCTACTTTACGTACGGTAACTATTGCTGTGAAGATAGTGAGAGTGGGCGGTGCTTAATGTGGCCCAGGAAACATGAGCGGACACATTTCAAGACCAATGTGGACAAATATGTCCTAGACCACCTCTCTCTATATAATCCATCCTCAATGTCCTCTGGTGCATTTACACCTGCTGTCCACTTGTCAACTGATGGTAAATGTTAAATGGACTTGAGCAAGTATAGCGCTTTAGTCTTCCGACTACTCAAAGTGCTTTTACACTGCATGTCACACTGATGGTAGAGGTTGCTATGTAGTATCATCCATCAGAAGTAACTAATCCCATTCATACACCACCACTGAAGCAGTATTATCCTTTGTGGAAGCAGATTTTCAAGAGTCTCACTTGAAACAAAAACTACTCATTGCTTACTCATTAGTTTCTCAAACCCAACGTTGAAACCATGCAGCCAATACTTTTTGTTAAAGCGCACTACCGTGCCCTTAATGATTACAATTGTCAGATCTCCTTTATGACACAAGTTCTTAGTATAGACAAACCAATAATAGTAAATCACGTCATGTGAACATGAACACTGTTTATGTTGTTTTTGGACTGAATCAGTTTTGAGGGCTAAAGGTTATCATTTATCAGATTATTATGTCACATCATCAGGAAATCATTTTGTGTGTGTTCTTTAAAGCACTATTTCCAGCTTCTATATGAATTGGTAGGTTTGGGGAAAGCTTATGAAAGAAAAGAAAATAGTCCGGAAAGCACAGGGCTCGTGTTAAGAAGTTTTTTTTGGCACAAAAGGTAAAATTCCACTCTGCCTGTCATCAGACTCACCCTGTAGTTGGAGTGGGCTCTGTTGTTGGTAAATTGGCCCATAGGTGTGTGTTCAGTTTGTCCTGGAGCATAGAGCCCCTCTGAAGGACCGGTGGGAACATGGTGGAAGACGAACCAGAAACCTGTTTCCTGAAGGGTCAAACACAAACATGTCAATCTAAAGAGAGCATGCTAAGGACCATCATGGGCCCAACACAACAAACACATATTCACTCCCGCACACATCCAGTAACTCCATCCTCTGCTTTGAAACCACAAGTCTGTTTTCTGTTTTTCTCCTCAGGTATGCAAATTATAATAGTAATTACATGGAGGATAAATTACACTCCGTTCCATCTGACATATTCTCAAGAATTCCCAGAAGTGTGATCATAATTGGCATTCTATTATAGTGAGAATGTGGCAGTGCCAGCGTCTGTTGTCTGCCTGAGTCTGGAGTTAATAGAAGCACACATCCATTAATCTGGTCTGGCAACCTGGTAATAAGATAGACCTCGTCCTGAAGGAAGGGAGGGGAGTCTGAGAAACAGAGAAGCTTACCTCTGAGCCTGCAGCAGCACAGTTGATGAGGTTGTTATTGGGGTTGGCGATCCAGAAAGTTGAAGTTGCGCTGTGTGGGAAAGAAAAAAGTGAAGCGTTTTGTTATTGGGTTGGTTATTATGTGCCTTTTCACAAGAATAGAGTAAACAAGTGATGTCTTGGTAAATAACAGTGTAGACAGTGACTGAGGAGGACCAGATTAATGGTTTGTAATGACAACAGCCCTGTTAATACACAACTGAAAAATGTTACTTTCTTTTTTACTTTTTTTTTTTTTTAAATAACTTTTATTCACAGCAAAGACAAACATTTTTTTGGAAATGTATTTAAATGGTAAATCAATTTTATGTTCATAATAAAAAATGTCTGTTAATTAACTGTTTATTTAAAAAACCTTTAAAGCTTCAGCAGATAACATGACAATATCGCATTCTCTCTTAAACAAAACTCCCCCAGTACATTTAAGTGTCAAACCCTTTTTTCCATGCATGTTTCTATGCCATAATTTATTGCTGAAAACGTGTATTTTTTTTTGCCATCATTTGTGGCTGAAGTTTATTTTTTTGTGTTAAGTTAAACACAAAATGTATTGAGTTATCTATTAAAGGCTTTATATGTGATGTTTTGATCCAGCAGATGTCGCCCTTGAGCGCCAGCATGAAACCAAAACAACTCTCGCTGCATTGTTGTGTTAGCATGCTAATGCTAGCGATCTTTATTATGCTCGTATCTTTACCTGAAATGAGCGTGATCTAGAAACACAGTTAAGCAGTGAGTACAGTATGTTATTCTTCTTTTCTCTAGTCCCTCAATTAAACAACTTTTATACGTGAGGGGAGGAGTCAGCTGGTCGTCCTGGCGATGTAAACAAACTGAAGATAGGACTCTGAAAACATCACAGACAGTGGGACTCGGGTGTTACACCCATTGTAGACAGTCATGACTCACAGAGTTATTTTCAGAGGAGATATTTGATTTATATTATATTTAAGTGTGAAAAATCACATAAAGCCTTTAAAGTTAGGGCTTGACATGAAATGATGAATGGACCTGAGCTTGTATATTTCTTTTCTAGTCTTCTGACTACTCAAAGCTCTTTTACACTTCAGGTCACACCTACACATTCACACACTGATGGCTGAGGTTGTAAAGTGACCATCAGAAGTAACTCATCCCATTCACACTCCACTGACTAAGCAGCAGGTGCAACTTGGGGTCAAGTTCCCAAGGACACATCGGACATGTAGCTTCAGGAGCTGGGGATTGAACCCTCGACTTTCTGGTTGGTAGAGGACAGACTCTACCCACTGAGCCACAGATGCACAATTGAAAGCTGGCCCATTGACTCTGGGCCAGCTGATTGAATACTCAGGCCAGAGGAAAGACCATCTTAAAAATATAATAGTCACAAATCATTGATAGTTTCACATTGTTTTTCTGTGATCATGTTGTTTGTCAGGATTCTTCTATGAAATGAATATTTATTTCTGCTACAGTGTAAACATTTCAGAAATTCCAGAAAGTGTGTCAAAGTTGACAGACTGCAGGTGCCCTTCCTCACTACACACAGATTGAACACTTAGAAACTGATTGTTGCGCATGTTTTGTCTCATGTACTAGTGTGGAAATTGTTTTTAAACAATTGTTGGAAAATCCGCATTTAAAGAGAAGATTAACAGGATAGGCTAGGGGGGGTTACAGAGAGTATGAAAGCACAAGGGAGAGAAAGTTCCAGCCACTCTGTCCAGACTGCTAGAGTTGGATGGAACACAATGCAGCAATGCAGAAAATGTTGGTTTTTTTGCCAAATGTGCTGATCATTGTTGACATAGACAGACATGTGAGATGAATCAGAAAAAAAGTTTTAAATAAATGACTTGAAAAGCCCCTGGCCCTCTTTAACTAAATGTCAACCAAGACTTAAGATTGCATGAATTCACATTCTAAACAAACTAAACTGCCATTACTAACAATCACTTAACTCTTAGCAGTTCAATCATTAATACATCAAATAAAAACAACAAGTGTACTGCTTCACTGGATTCTCACAGACTCATGAAGGAATAATGAATTAGCCAACAGATTACAATAGGTGACCATTTAAAGTCTGCCTCTTTTCACTACTGCCTCTGGGAATGGTATTTATGGATGCAGAGAGTTTTTTTTTAATCTTGTTTTATATCCGTTAATTATCAATATGCATCATATCATCGATAATATTTCTTGCAAAATAATATGTTTCACAGCATGTCAAAATTCTTAAACTTGAGATTTTATCATTTAACTGTCCTTCTGTGACCAAAGGATATTATTAATTAAATCTTTTTTTTTTACATTCTGCACTCCCTCAGCCCTGGACAAAACCAATCAATGTATCATTAAGGCCTGGGTAGCTCTTTATATGTTTAGTCAATGGAAGGCAAGAGGCACACTGCAGTCTAGAGTCTCTGTTCACAGTGTCACTGAGTGACAGCTTCAGGTTCAGAATGTCTCAGTAGATCTGCGCACTATTTTGTCATGATGGTCATGACTGTACAATATGATTGGTATGGACATTTTAGCAATTGCTGAATGTTGGTGAAGACCGGTCTCTACCCAATTCTTCTCCCTTGGCCAAGAGTTGTACTTCAGGTACTGTAAGAGGAGCAAGTGGCAGACACAGTATTTGTTAATTCTAGGGGCACAGTTAGCAGTATTTGACCAATCACAAACAAGAACAAGTCTGCCACCAGCAGACTGTCATATTCAAAAAAACTTAGAGCAAACTATGACATCATTTAAAGTCCAATCAAGGTACCAAGGTATTGAACCCTGTTCAGAAGTGAACCCCGTTCCTAGTACTGACAACCCAGAATGAACCATGAGGTTAACTGAGTGAGTGAGTGAGTGAGTGAGTGAGTGAGTGAGTGAGTGAGTGAGTGAGCGAGAGAGAGAGAGAGCAAGAGAGTGAGCGAGTGAGCGAGTGAGCGAGTGAGTGAGCGAGAGAGAGAGAGAGAGAGAGAGTGAGAGAGTGAGCGAGTGAGAGAGTGAGCGAGTGAGTGAGCGAGCGAGAGAGTGAGTGTTGTATGTTCACATTCGAGCTTGTTCTCCATATTTAACTTTTTTTTTTGACTTTTGATTGTTTTTTTATTTTATACCATCTGAACTTTTCTCACTGAACTCTTAAAAAATAATAAATAATTGTTTTCGATTAATCTGCAAATTCTTCTCTGTGCCTTATTGTGAGCGTACAGCTCCAAAGCCCCAGTCACCCATACACTTAGAATATCATTATAGTTCCATTTGCATCTACGTGAAAAAAGAAGCTTAGGGTAATGAATATGAATAGAACAGCAAATATGCAGTTTAGCTCCACAGCAGCTTACAGCATGACAGCCTAACATCTTAAACTTCTCCACTTTTTTTCAGCCCTCTGATCTCTTATTTTCGCTCATTCCTGGGTCTTTGTCTCCCTTCTCCTCTCTTCTAAACCTTTTCTTAATATGTTGCTGTTTCTGCTTGATAAGTGGCTTAGGGGAAAATGGAGGAACAATTTACTTTTAAACTGCCAGAATTAAGTTCATGTCTAACTTAAAAAATAAATCTGTCCTTCTATCAACCTTTTCAGATTTCCTCATAGCATAACTGTCTCTGCCCACTTACTCCCCTACTTTACATTATTTGCATTTTTCAACCAATAGACTGTGTGCACAGATCTGTCTGTCTAACTATCAGCTAAGGACCATAATGTGCTGCACTCCTCTCCCAAACCCACTCTTGTCAGTGCCAATGTTCAAATGTGGGAGCACTGCTTGTAGAAATAATCATCATGGCAAGGCCGGTAAAGGCTAACCTCTAAGGTCCCTAAGTCCCTCTTTGCAGTCTCAAACTCACTGGCACTGACTGTTATTTTCTTTGCATATATTCAGCTTGCTAATACTCTCTTTGTTTAACAATAAGGCAGACACTCATGTTTTGTTTAAGGCAAAGTAAAGAGTGATTGAGTGGTGGCAGTTAACAGGTAGAGACTCCCATAGAGGTGAGTATTTAAGCAGATGCTTAGGATCATTACTTTAAGAACTACAATGGAACCAGCAGGATAAGCAGTTCTTCTGTGTTTTCCTCATAATAACACAATAACACACAAGATTAACTGAGTTGTATGTAAGCACAATTAGCATTCTTTCATTTCAGTGCTGGTCGATAAGCCAGAGTGGTCTGATTGTCCCTTGCTTATGCACATGTATGTGTTTAGGAAGAATGGCTTTGGAACAGTGGATTTGGATACTCTCTGCTGCTGTCTCACAGCATACAGAATACTGCAGCCAAGATGGATAATTATTTATTCAACAAATGTAGACATACCCAAGCACACATGTTCATTGACTTTTGGAATAAGCTTAATTTTAGTGAAATTTAGACTGCAGATTTAATAGTGAATTTGTTAAGCAAAAAAAAATGAGTTTGTTGATATGTGAAATCAGATATGTTGACTATTATTGTAAAAGCACAACATTAAGTTTGCGAACAAAAACAGAAAAAAACATGTAGCTGTTTGTTCTGCAGCAGATTGCTTTAATAAATTATTTTTATAGACCGCATGCTAAAGCATGCCTAGGCACACATGCACACCCACACCCACACCCACACACACACACACACACACATCCAAAATTTTTATATAAGCGAAAATATTACCGTCAGCACATTCATCGGTCTCCTGCAAATCTGAGCAAAATTTCTTGTTCTAGTCCAAGCACTTAAATACAACACATGCACAATTCATAAATGACAGGGGAGAGACAGGAGTAGCCACAAGGGAGAGTACAAAAATCTGTTTAGAATTGAATCATCATAAATCTTAAGTGTAATCGTGTTTGATTCAATGGAAAGTTTTAAACTGCCATGTTATATAATGTTAGTATTTGGAAATCCAGGATACACTGATCCAGACTAGTTGGATAAGAAGTGCATTCCTATTATATAGTCGTATATATTAACACTGATTATTACACAGCTGTGTTAAATTCTTGATTCTGATTGGCCAATTACACATAGCCAAGGTCTGCTATTCCTTTATATAGATCACTGTTGTTAAGAACAACAAATTGTTATTGGAAAAGCAAACGATAGAATGCAGAACAGATTTGTATTATATCAATGGGTGGAAAGAAGTCTAGTGAACTTGATGTAGTGTTTTGACTTTGGTAAAGGAAGAAAGAAGAGGATGTAAAAGCTATCACAGAGACATCTACAAAACTGAAGACAGCACGTGTAGTAAACACATAATGGAAACTGTTATGGGATGTGGGGGAGTTTGGAGATGGCTGAATTGAAAATGTTGACAGACTCCAACATGAGGAGGCAGGTTCTGCACTGATTTATGTTCACTTTGTCACTATTTCACTGTGAGTGGAATTGTTCAGTTTTGCTCATTTATGAAGGCTGTCTTGTATTTGATTAATTGTGTATCACGTTTTTACATATATGGTAAATGGACTGGAGCTTATAAAGCTCTTTTCTAGTCTTCAGATTACTCAAAGCTCTTTTACACTGCCTGTCACACCTATATATTCACACACTGATGGTATTGATCACTATGTAGTATCATCCATCAGAAGTAACTAATTCATTCATACACCGCCACTGAAGCAGAGGGAGCAATTCAGGGTTAAGTGTCTTGCCCAAGGACACATCTGACATGCTTCTCAGCTGGGGATCGAACCCTCGACCTTCTGAGAGACGACAACTCTACCAACTGAGCCACAGCCGCCCCCATATACTCAAGGACTACAGATGGAATCTAGCTAATCAGTTAAATCTGGTGCAATGCATTTTATCTCATTAATGGAGATTATTGTATATTTTGTACATGGTCCCTGACTAATACCATTTTCACACTAGTAGAAATCTACTGAAAAACTGAAGAGCTGTATGTGTGAACGCAGACGGCCAAATTTGTCACTCGGACTTCACCCGGAGTTTCTCCGGCCAGACCCCTTGTATATTTTCCGCAGCAAGTCCAAGTGAGCTGATGTGAGAACGACGCAGGATATTCTCCGGAGAATTCACCTTGAGCCAATAGAGGGGGAGTGATGTTACTGTTATTGCTCCACAGTGAATAGAGTGTCTGCACGTGACCACTACGATCTCCGTGCTCTAATTAAACGTCTGCATTCTGTTTTCTGTTGGTCAGTATGTTGTTCTCCTCTCTTTTGTGGATGTTGTCATTCCATTGGATTACACATAGCATTGATATAAAGACAAATATTCTCATTATAACGTCGTGTAGCATACTCTGTTGCTACAGCCGCTACTTCCGCGTTGTTTATTTACGTCACGTCTTACCTCAGGAGACCCCCCCCTCTGACAGGGATAGTCTCTCTCTCTCTCTCTCTCTCTCTCTCTCTCTCTCTATATATATATATATACAGTATATGTATATACAGTATGTATATGAGATTTTTTCAAATTGGAAAAAGTTGAGGAAAGAGTTGAGGAAAGAGTTGTGTCTGCGTTGAGACTCAGACTTATGTCAGAGTCAGATTATGAATTTTTGGTAAAGAAATAAGTGTGCACATTATATGCACATTGTGTGTACCTGCAGTCCTGGCGTGGGTTAGGCACATATCCTGGGTATGATCCTTCAGTGATGTCACGGCACATTTTGCTGTCTCTATCAGAAGGCAGCAAGGTCCCAGCGCGCACCATCAGACCGAGACAGTGGTCAAATGTGTTCCTCTCCTCTGCACCATCTTCTGTGAAGAAACAGTGGCCTAGAGTGTCATAGCCCACCACATCCTTTACCTGTAAGGCAGCACACAAACTTTAGACAGGCAGTACACCTTCAGAGACATTCTTATCTAAGGAAAGAAAATGGGTGTATTTCCAGGATGTCAAAGTATTAACATGATTGTTTAATAACAACTATTGATCAATAAAAACATCATTAAAGGGATACTTCACCCGTTGAAACATGAATCTGTATTGACATTGGGTCATATATGTAGTAGAAATGTGAAATACATTTTGAAGTTGGTGCCTTCTTGGCTAAGAAAAGGCAGAAAGTGTCTTTTTGAATCATGTGGATGAAACCACACCAAATCCCAGAATGCACAGCACCGCAGGCCACTCCCACTAAGGTCCTCTACAGACATATTTACCAGAATTGATCTTGTAAATTCCTTTCAGAAAACAGACTCTATGTCTGTGTCCATAGGCAAACAGTGAGCGCACCGACACTACCAGTCCGCTCCAGCTCGAGCCGGCCCTGGTCTGTAGCTTCAGTGGTCGAACATATGAGGAACTAGCATTGTAGTTTCACCCCGCTAACCACAACAACTTCCAGTGATGCAAAATGACGGTATTTGCGTCACTGGAAGCTCCTTTTCAGACTTAGAAATACAAAGATTTCCCATCTCAGGGGAAAATGAGGGCGGGATGCACGACCATTCAAAAATGATACAAAGATTAATGCAAATGGGTGAAGTATCCCTTTAAAAATTCTATGCTTACCAGAAGTCCATTGGAGCCATGGATGGTTACACAGCGGGAAAAGGTGTGGTGGATAGATAAATCCCTGACGGAGGTTGGAGGGTCATAGCCTCCCCTATCGTCTACATCTCCATTCATATGGAAATGAACTGGATAGTGTCCCATTGTCTGCTGGCCCATATGCTGCATCTCCACTCCAGAAATATGAACTGACCTGAAGCCTCGCTCCACCTGATATTGACAGGAAATACTTTTCAGAGGGGAGGAAGTCTGCAAGGAAGGTGTACCGTATTTTCCGCACTATAAGGCGCACTTAAAAGCCTTTAATTTTCTCAAAAAACGACAGTGCGCCTTATAATCCGGAGCGCCTTATATATGGATCAATTGGTTAATTGGTTGATCCATACTGGTTGTACACGGTGCTCAGCGACACTGACTCGGATAATGACGAGAGGGAGCCGGGCATGTTGGATGCCGTACTCGCCCAACTGTTCAATTCGGACACTGAAGAAGAAGAATTCGAGGGATTCGTGGACGGGGAATGAACTGAATAAGTGAGCTTTACGTGTTATACGTAACTGAACAATGTTGAGTTATGCACTAACGTTTGAATTAGCGGTATCAGACTGTGTTTCTTTTACGTGTTTACAACTGAACAAGGCTGGGAGATATTGTGAATATGCACATTAACGTTTGAACAACGTTGAGTTATTGTGAATGCACTACGTATAAAACTACGTTTTGAGAGTTAAGAGAAACATCAAAGAAATAATTTATTATTTGGGGAAATCGTCTTATGTACTTTTGTTTTTGTAGTTTTATACGTTACGTTTTATACGTATTTATATTTATATATTCACAATATCTCCCAGCCTTGTTCAGTTGTAAACACGTTCTATTCTATGCCTCTTATAATCCGGTGCGCCCTATATATGAAAACAGTTTTAAAATAGGCCATTCATTGAAGGTGCGCCTTATAATCCGGTGCGCCTTATAGTGCGGAAAATACGGTAAGTAATGATAGAGATAACAAAAACATGAGTATGGAGAGATTGGAATAAACAAAAAGGCTTTCAGACCCTGCTGTTTTTTAAAAATTATTTAACAATACAATTTATAACAGAGATTGCTTCTCTCAGCACATGGCTGGCTGATACTAATGGAAATGCTAGTAATTGACACAACAGTATAAAGTATAAAGTGTCAAAGCAGGAGAATGTTCTGAGGCGATCATTTTGAAGGGCTTTACTGAAAATCGTACTGAGGCTTTCATTTCCCAGTGTTTCCTTGCTTGTACATGTTATACACACACCCATGTATGAGAAAAATGTGACATGAGCCTGTGATGGAAATTATAATAGGATATGATAGCATGCCCGGGGAGAGAGAGACAACAAGGCAGCATAAAAATAACCAAAACCGGTCTCAGTTGTCTTCTTCTCTTGACACGCATGCAGGCTCAGACATAGATTATGGGTTTTGTTTGGGGTTGTACCTGTTCTGTTTTTAGTTTTAATCATACACCTGTGGTTACTTTTGATTTGATCAACATTCTTTGTGTGCTAAGATTGTCACAGCACATTCAGGGTCATGGCAAACCTTTTCATTCAGACAGGAGACACATCTCAGTACCTAATGGTATTTTTGAAAGCTATAATGCTGACCTGGAGTTGAAACCATTTTGTCAACTGCTAATATCAAAACACTAACTGTCAAGGTCAAAACAGCAGTCAGAAAAGAAACACAGCAATGGTTTAAACCTGGTGGAAAAGTGTTCGTATGTAATTCACCTGGCAGTTGACAAGCTTTTACCTTCAAATGTCCTCCAAAAGTGTCAAAGTGGAAGAACTTGCAGGCTTCGTTGGCATAGCAACTGGGCTCCATCTCACCGCAGATCAGTATGTTACGACTCAGTAAACCCACCTCCGCCCTCATATCCACGCCGTCCACCTCCTGGCCAATGTGAACAAACTGGGCCTTACCTGCACTCACACACACACAAACAAAAAAACACACCATATTCCTGATCAAACATTAAACATTAAAACAATATATAGAGAATGAGTTGTCCTGAATAGCTGTCTGTAGATCACTGTTTGTACAGTCGGCATGCAGATTATTTGTGGAGGATGATCTGTTTTCAGAGGTTGACTTAAATCCCATGATAAATAAAAAAACGTAGAGATGCAGCATGGTTTAGCAAGGTACATAAATATAAGGATAAAAATAGAATCGTGATATATGCTTCACCACTACTTAAGGGCTGTGGTACATTCCACAACAGTTATGTTCTGAACTCATCATCATTAATCTCATTTAGAACTGAAGTTCAACATGTTTAACAGTTATGGAGTCAAAATGAGAATCAAACCTGACTCATACGTCTCTCAGCTATCTCCAAACTCTTCCCATTACCAAGAAAAACAACACACCCCGGTTAGGGCATAACCCTTGTGGCTTGGCAGTTGACTTGATAATCCTTGCAAATACAGGAACGCTGCTATAAAGTGGCACGCAGGCAGGAATTAATGAAATGGATCAAAGTCAAGAGTAAGTGATAAAACCTCCGAGCAGCAGAATGGGGCTAAACAAAAATAGGATTTTCTCTCTGGGAAGACAGAACTCCAAGACGTGAAGAGTCAAACAAACGACAGAGAAGGACGGGCAGAGGTATCTCACAATACAACGGGACAGAAATGCCAGAGATTTAAATATATCCCAGGCTCTAAGTCTTCATTCTAAACAGAGGAAATGCAAAGTTGACCCTTTTTTGTGTGCAAATCATTGTCAGAAAGCGAAAGCTGTAAAAGGACACACCCGGCTACGAATGCAATGATGGGCTTTACAAAAAAAACAAAAAACATGTCTTATCACGATTGTTTGGAAGTACTTTTCAAGGCAGCGGTTAATTCAAAACCTTATACAGGAAAGGTTCATATAAATGGAGAGATACATTACAAACAGGCAGGTAACAGCTTTTGTCAACATATGTGTAAAACCATGTAAGTGGAGCCTTCAACCTTTTAAAGGGCACTGTAGAGTTCTTTGAAATTACGCTACTTGGTACAAGTTGAACTGGATTGATAGTACAGAATGTTTTCACAGCTACATTGTAACCTGTCAGTTTAGCCCTGCATGAAAAAAAAAACAAGTGTAACAATGGTTTTCTTACCTTGAACCTTGACCTGGTTGGATGTGCAGGTAGAGCAAGGTAACAGGGTGAACTCTTCAGTCTGATGCATGGAGTAGTCAGTACTGGCCACCACCACCCGATCATTGGATCCCCAGCCCTCTGGTTTGTCAGCGAGCTCCAGAATGCTGCTATTGGACGATATGCCGATAGAAATGGAGACCTGCGGACGAACTATGAGGGGCGTAGAGTCAGAGCTTGCAGGATATAGCAAAGCTGCTACAAAGCAAATAAAAATCCATGGCTAAAATTCTAATGCTACAAAATGTAATCATAAATTCAATCAATCAAAGGAATCAGTCAATGTGAAGAAAGGCTGTTTCAGGACGATGCTTTTCATTGTGTTGTGAGACACTGGACCTGTGACTGCATTGACAGGCATAAAAAACAACAACTTTTTAAATCATCAGTGGTATTCCTGTCTGTATCCTTAATGGTGTTATCATAAAGAGACATCAGCATTAAGTATTATTTATTTCACTGAGGTACCTTGCTGAACTTGCTTGAGATTTTGCTAATTTATAATAGAGCATGTTCTTCTTTTGGATGTTTTAAGGAGTTTTAAGGAGTTTTAAGAACTATGCAAACACCTTGTCGCTCATATTTCAGGCTTGCTTTACTTTTCTTTTCTGCATCACATTAAGTGTGTTTAAGCAATATTGCCTGGAAATCTTCTGTAAGGCATTCAGAGTACGTCGATCTGATTCTAAACTAACTTCCAAAGTTGGCTTGTCTTAATGGAAGAGGAGTGGTGGTACTCTGAGCTTCTTCTGGACATCTGACTTCCTCACACAGTTGTTATTGAGACACTACCAAGAAACAAAAAACTCTTTGTATCAACAATCCAATGTTAGGAAAAAAATGCTGACACAGCAAGAAAGCTTGATATTGTGATCCAGAATATTCAGACAAGTATAAACTAAATTTATGCCAAAATGTCAAGCTCTTGAGTTGTTACCAAAGGCTGATTGAATTACAGAAAACAACACAATCTTCTGCTGTGGTATTTCTGAGTAGTCAGATTTGGTTTCTTTGACTGAAGGAGAGGATTTGTGTTTTATCCATGTGCACTTTATGTTAATAGCTGTGATTCTCAAAGCAAGTCACTGGTTAACTGGTGCTATACCTTACACGTGCAGACTTCAAATACCCCCAACCCACCTTCCTCCACAAGGCACAAACACAAGCAAATGTGGTGTGCTCTGTATACATCTCAGAATCATGCAAACACTCCTATGCACTCACCACATAACACAAAGCAACACACACAGACATGGACACACAAGCCCTGACAGAGGTCCTCAACAGCTTCTTCTTTTTGGAAAGGTGCCTGTAACATTGGCTGTTGTGTGGTCGTGTTTCCCTGCACTAAGATGCTGGCTCCATGCATTCCAATCATAACTGTCTCCATGCACGCAAACAACACAAGCACAAGCACAAGCACACCTCCACTGGAACACTGCCAGTGTCTGCATATAGGAGACATTATCAATCCTTTACATTCCCTTCTTTTCAAGTAAAGGCATTTAAGTGAAGAATTTAATGGATTCATTCATGCATACCAGACACTGACAGTGTGTGATTAATGTACCCAGTTTTCCACAGAGGAAGCGAACCCTGTAGTTTTGACAGATGCCATGAGCCTGGTCTTTGTTGAGGCAGACAAAGCCGTAGTCCTTGTGCTTCTTGTAGATCACATCTCCTGTCTGGTCGGATGGTGTGCCATCATAGGTTGCAGCCTTGACAAGGGAAAAAGGGAATGTCAAATAAAAGGATGGTACTCCATACTTACAACTAAAAGTACTTTCAAAAGACCAAAGCAATATGTTTTGATATGTGACCAAGGAACATTTAGAAGTTTGATGAAATATTTTGTCCTGAGAGTGAGACAGAGAGGTGTCTAGTCACTTGGCAGGAGTGCAACTCAAAACAAAGCATTATGAGATTTTGCCCACCTCTTATTTGTCCAGGGCTGCCCCGGACAAATCAGGCCCTAAACAGTATTGTTAAATTTCAATGAGTTTTTATGTAAAATTATAAAATATCTTGGTTGCTTGTGGCAGCTCTTTCAGTTTTGTCCTCACTGTGTGTGCTTGGTGACTTAGTTCATCAGCTGTTTGTTTTATTAAATTGCTTTAAAACATAACTCAATTTGTAATGCATTTTCAATCCCAACCTGTTTTTACAGCAGCTGAGCTGTATGAGTAAAAAGGTTGATGTAATTTTCTTGGCTAAAGAAAACGATCAAAACCAACATGGTATTTTTATTATTTCAATAAACAGCACTTAAACTAAACAACAACACAAGTTGACATTAAACTGTCAATTTGCAGGATGAGTGTGTGAATGTCACAGAGCGAGCTGAGACTGAGCAGGAATAGATTGATCATGGAGGCATCATCTCTCTGAAGATAAATAAATCACTGTCACATTTTCATTTGATTTGAAAACTTCAACTTTAAAGCCAGCCACTGCCATTACAATTTACAGCATGGGCTTCTTAAGACAGGGAAATAATAAAATCACATCAGTATTCACAGGCCTGAGCAGATGTTTCAATAATATTAAATAGAATGTGTAAAGCTCCTTTCAAGGGACCCGAGAGAATGCTTAACATACAGTAGTTCAAATGCCAGAAGCATTGCATTAAATGTCGACTTTTCAAATGATCCTCTCTCTAGTTAAGTATTTCTATCTTCCTTACTTCTACAGAAGAGGTAGAAGATAAACATCTCATTTATTTATCTCACAAAGGGGAACGGGACATGCTTCACACATACACAGGCTGAAAAGTAGCCATGTTGGAAATGCTGACTGACAAACTTTCGGTGAACCTCACCAGGCAGCAGCCCACATTTCTTAACTATGATTGGTAGTTTCTTTGCCTAAATTCACCATTTAGGATGTGTTACAACTGACAGCTTGTAGTTTTCAGTGTGCAGATGTTTGTTTGCAATTTTTTTTATATTTGAAAATTGTGACTTTGGACATACATTGTGTTTAGTCCTTGAGGAAGTCATTTTAAAGGATGTAAATGTTGTTATTATCTTGTGTTACTCAAAAATCAATGTGATTAGTGCAGACAGAAGGGCAAGACACTTAACCCTGAATTGCTCCCTCTGCTTCAGTGGTGGTGTATGAATGGGATTAATTACTTCTGATGGATGATACTACATAGTGATCACTACCATCAGTGTGTGAATGTGTAGGTTTGACATGTGGTGTAAAAGCACCTTGAGTAGTTGGAAGACTAGAAAAGTGCTATATAAGATCAAGTCCATTTACCATTTACCATCTCAAGATGACACTGGAGGAACTGCAGTCTTCTGCACTTCTTAAATCTCAACACAGCTACTTTCTGTAAACCAAACCATCACTGTGAATATATATATATGTATTATTTAATTTAAATGATCAACATACGCACACTTATTTATGTAAATACTGTAATTGACATCTTAATTGACCCATCCGTCACATAACTGCATTTTACTTATCATGTTACTTCAGCATCTTTTGCACTATTCACCACTGAATTCCAATTCCTTGTGTGTGTAAGCATACCTGTCCAATAAATCTGATTCTGATTTAATGGCTTCAATTTTCAACACCTGATGTTGCCACTTGACTTAAAAGCATTTAGGGTCTAACATACCTGAGCATGTCACTGTATGAGTGTGTGTGTGTGTGTGTGTGTGTGTTTCTCTTCATGATGGGTATGGCAGGAGAAGAGAGCAAGCAGTTGTAATCCATGGCAGATGGTGTTTCCAGAGACAAATTACATTTAATTACATGTATTTTCATCATGTTTACAAATCTAATGTGTCAAAGACTTAAGACTCCAAAGTGTGAATAATCTGGTTTTTCTTAGCATTTGTTTTCCCTGTGAATCATTTATCAAAATGATCTTGTTGTTTTGCCAGCCCTAATTAAAATATATTTGTCATAAACTACATTGGTGGTGGAGAAACAGCATATGAATGTGTGTAACTGTGCACCCTCACAAACATGCAGTGTGTGTGTCCTATGAAGTAGGAAAAGATTAACCTGGATGTCCAGCGGCCCACTACACAGTCGGTTTGGATAGGCCTTTAGCAGGTCAGAAAGTTTCTCCCAGTCACCAGATCCCCTCTCGTCATCCCTGTCAAACCATTCTGTCCATTCTGCCTCTGTTGGACACACACACACGCACACACACACACACACACACACACACACACACACACACACACACACACACACACACACACACACACACACACACACACACACACACACACACACACACACACACACACACACACACACACACGCCAGTAGCTCAGTTCACAGTTCAGTGGTCTGACAGCCAAGCAAAGAAATTAGACTAATCGATGTGTCAGGGTTTTGGCTTGGAGTCCACTTAGGCTGTCAGAGAACATTTGTAGCAGTCATTGAAGGGCTCTCTCTCCTCTCCTTTTGTCCTAGCTACCACTTGGTGTGTGTGTGTGTGTGTGTGTGTGTGTGTGTGTGTGCGTTTTTCAGCCTGAGGATTAGGGGTTTGTCTTCATGCAGTTCACTCTATGTTCTATAATATTTATGGTAACATTACATGTGGAATGCTACATATGATGCATGAGGCCCCGTGTCCACCTAGAATTGTTTTCTGAGTGCCGGCATCTTAATACAATACTCAATTTTATACTTGTAAGGTGCAATAACATCCAAGGGTCCTAAGACTGCACTTTGATTTCTTAATAGTTATTTTATCTAACACTTCCTAACACTTTTTCAAACTATTTTGTGTGTGAAGCTGAAAGCAATGAATGTTATTTTTATTTTGAGAGAACCAAAGCAATGTGCAATGACAACAAAGGTGCTCTAATCTATGTGATGGAGGATGTTATAATAGGAATCAGCTTTGAACTTAAAAGGAGGGGTCAATAACAGCTGAGTACCAGACGGTGAGGCAGCCGTATTGGTGAGAAAGTAATGACCTCAAGATGTTACAGAGGCTAATCAATCCCTGATCATGAAGATTCTTTTAGAAGCAGGCCTGTCTGTGTCTGCACATGTTTTTAGAGTTATTGACATCCTGCAGTTATATCACAACCAAAAAAAAATCATCTGACATCTACACAGATGCAATAACACAGACTTAAAGTACATAGGGTCACATATGACACTTTCTCCTGCCACATTCTTTAAGTGTAAAAAAAAATGGTTACGTTTTTTCAGAGTAGTGCAGGAAAAAATGTAGAAGTAAACTAATGGGTGCTGATGTCAAACGGTCCTGATGCCGGCAGGATGAACATGACAGAGTTTTCCTTCTAATTCCGACTTACGTGTCCTTTTTGGCATATTTATGTCTTCAGCCCACTCTATAATAAATTCCCTATCTGGTGATCCAAACCACACTAGTTTCCCAAAGTCAAAAAGTCAAAGCTTCACAGCTAAACCCTTCTGTATTTAGGCATGCAACATGTTATCAGATACATTATAATTCCCAGTGTTTTATTTTTATACTGTATCTCTTGAGACATCACAGCTGATAATATGAAACTACCTCTTTGGTTTGAAACAAGGGATGAAACAGTTTTTGAATATGTCCTGAAACAACATGGTTTGGATGCATACCAGGTATGATGTAGTCATACCTGGGATACATCTGAGTGGAGAGAAAAGGCAGGCACACATGGAGCTGGTATTAATGCTCGTAACAAACGCTATTCAACAACAAACACAGAAGAAGAAGCAAACGCAACAAAACACAAGAAGAAGAAGAAGATAGGATAGCAACGCTATGATGAAGATGACAGCGCTAGCTAAAGCTAGAGGACCTTACTGCTTCTTGAAATCAGTTATATAGGGAAACTGGTTCAGTGCAGTATGTCATAGAAAGCACATTGAACATGCTAAAGGAACATCAGATGGCATCAACCAAAAATGCCAATCACCGGAACTAGGCAAAGAAAACAAGTGTCGAACAACTTATCTCAGCAGAAAACACAAACCGTGAAACCTTATACATTTTAAGGCTATGTGTCCTCATCAGTGTTGGGCTCGTTACTGAAAAAAAGGAATATATTACTCATTACTCGTTGCTCTTTTTAAAAGTGATATAATTACTTTACTTATTACTCCCTGCCAACAGTAATATGTTACACTACTCCTTATATTACTTTTCGTTTCATTAGTTCTTTTTCA